CCAAGAAGAAGATTTGTCCTTATGAAGGTAATTGGTTTTGATGGTTTAGAGATTATTCCAAAAAAAATAGTCAATATTGGTTGGATATGAGAGTTCAATGAAATCAATTGAAATGTTAAGGTAGTAATTTTTTGATTCTATAACAAAAGTGACGTTATCATGAAGGGAGAATAACAGTTGTCAAATTCAATTTGGCAATTTTGCCAAGTGGCACTATATAGGTGAATCGTGCAATATAATCAGTTGATGGTGGTCCTATTAGTAAGGACTTTTGGCAAAATAAACGGGGTTGTGATTGATTGCATTTTTTATTGGTGGTAGCAACATTTGCTCAAGATTTAGTGTTTACTCAATATTTGGTATTTTTTGTAAACATTGACTAATGACTTGAATCAAGGGCCAAGATTTTCAAAGATTATGAAGTAACTGGAACTTCAATTTTTTTGAGGTGAGATGATTGGATTTGATTTAAAATACTAAATTTATCAAACAACATTCTTCAAGATAATCAACTTATTTTTTTAATGGCATCCAAATGCAATAGCCCTTAATATATTGGTTATAGCCAACAAAGAGGTTTTTTTTAAAGTGTGACTATAGTTTGTTGTGGTGTTCTTTTTCTATCTAAACATATACATTAGATCCAAAAATCTGCATAAAAAAAATATCACATTTTTTTTATAATAGAAGCGTTAATATGGTATTACCTTAGAAAAAGCATTGATGGATGGTGATTGAGAATAAGTATTGTGGTGTTGATAGCTTCTCTCTAGAGAAAATTAGATGTGTTGGCTTAAGTGGTCATACTATGCACCATAATAAGAAGTTTGTACTTTATCTTTTCAATGACTCTTTTTGTTCTAGTATTCTTGCATTAGTTATTTGTCTACTGATGCTTGATTGCTCATACATGGTTGTGAATTCTTACAAGAGAAATTCACCACCCCTATCACTTTTTACAAACAAAATCAATCTTTGGTGTTGAATTTTTGTTAAAGTTTTAAAGATCTTGAATAAATGAGTCTCTTGTCATTTATACTGAAGAAAGTGCATCCATATGTATCAACTATTGTCATCAACTATGACTAGCATATAATTGAAACCACCTAGGGATGTGACCAAGAAGGGACCAGACAAGTCTATGTGTAGCAATTCCGAAATTACAGCTGTCTTTGTAATATTAATTCTAAGAAATGGTTCTTGATGTTTCTTGTTCACATATTTCTTTGTGTACAGAAATGTATTGAATTCCATGAACCACGTTTCCATCTAATCTAATAGATCATCTCGGGTAGCTAATGTGCCATAGCCTATAATGCCATAGCCTACCTGTGTGTAGATCCATTTGAGCTAGATTGGCTGAGATCTCCGAGTTGCTTGTGTTGAGTTGATAGAGTCCGTTCCGTCTGTTTTGAATACCTTCGGACACTATGGGACCGTGAGATCCGTTGTACAATATGCATTTTTTGTTGTTAAAACATGCTATGAGGTCTCTATCGGTGAAGGAACCAATAGACAAGATATTCTTTCGAAAGCCATGAACGTACAGAACATCAGAGACCTCTTTTATTCCTCTTGATGGGAACTTCAGATGTACAGTGCCACGACCGGTTATCTGGTGGCTGTGACCTCCTGCTATTTTCACATCGCCACTAAACCCTTTTAGGCTATCAAAGTTGAGTCGCCCTCCGAAGACATGTGTTGTTGCCCCGAAGTCATGATACCAACTTGCATTGTGGTCGTGAGTAATTAGCGAAGAAATCGTTGCTTCAAATAGCTAGTCATTGCTAGTTTCTTTGAAAGAAATGGTGTTAATGTTGTCATTGGGTTTTGGCCAAGGTCTCTTCATGGACTATGTTCGCGGATTGAAAGCGTAATCCTAGCTTTGACATTCTATCTGCTTCAAGTTTTCTTATGTTGTTGAGTCTTTCAGCGAACATATGTTCCGGATGACCATGTCTCCCACAATATGTATACTAGGTTGTGTACGATTGTCTCTGCATGCTAGAATAGCAGTGGTGAGAGCCGAATGTGCCATAGTGACACTGAGGTTGACTGCTTTTGTGATTCAGGCGGAAGTAGAGAGCTTTGCTGGCAGTGTTTCGCCTATGAACCGAGACTGAAGCTTGTCCAGAGTGGGGTACCCTCCGCCGCTTGTGTAGTGACTCAAGAAGTTGTCGTAGGAGTCACGTTGAGCTTTGACGACAATCTATACGAGATCTGAGTCATCTACTTTGACTCCTATGGCAGATAGCTCTGCGAGAATGTGTCGAAATTGTGAAAAGTAACTTTCAACTCCATTGTGCTTCGAAAATACGATGAGACCAAGTCTGTTCTTCAAGTCAAATTTTCTGCTGTCATCTGCGCTTTCAAAGGAGTCAAGTAAAAAATCCCACAGTTTTTTTGGTTCGTGAAAGTCAGTGAGGACGGTCAGCAAGCTGAGCTTGATCGACATTCTGAGTATGTACATCAAACGTTCAGATTTGTCATCTTTGTATTCCTCATCTGTAAGGTCCTTGGAATACCGTTTCTCCTTGCCTGTAGAAGATGATGCGGTTGAGGGAGGAGAGGATATCCCACAATCTCTCTTGTTTTGCCACTCTAGTGATTATGTACTTCTATAAGTGGATGTTCGAAGATCCTTTGAGTTTTATCTCATTAGGGACCACATTATCTTTTGGCATGGTTTGCACTACTAGTAGACACACAAGAGAAAGAAACAAAGAGAACAAGATCTGACGACGCTCTGATACCATGTTGGACGACATAGATAAAGTATCGAATACATACATATCAATCGTAATGGATCAAAAAGATGTTATTCCACGATGCAGAAGCTCTACATATACTCAGTCTAATGACTGGATGCACTGAGATCATTGACGAACGAACAGATCACTTCGTTATCGTGTTTGATACCCTAAGACCCTAAGCGAGAGATTCTGATAGTACTTAAAATGGACTCCTCACTACTTCGAAAGTTTTAGCATAGCAGTCTCAGTGCGGAGACACAAGCCCGATTTGTTCAAGTTGAACAGAAGAACACAAATGCGAAAAGTGCCGTCAGAGCAGACTATTCTTAGTAATACATTTTCATTTCAACATGAGGTTTCCCACAAATCCCCTCTTGTGCTAGACTCGGCTCTTCTAAGCCACGAACAGGACACTGTGTAGTATGTAGGAGTTGCCATTGAGTTCATTTCGATTACTCGGAGTTTAGGGTGATCGCCTCGCTTGCATGTTAATCTTTGAGATGTTTGTGGGTATTGGACCGAGATCATCTCTTGCACTTTGAAGCCTCCTTGCACAGATTCTTGCCAATTGTTGCGAATTCTCATTACAGCCCAGAGATTCGACAGGTCCTTTGACTGATCTGGGGATTTCCCATATGAGCTAGAAACCTGGGTGTAACTCTGGATTTGGTTAAGATAAGAGCATAAAATATACAAGACGGTCCCACTTCACGGACGTTACGTAAAGCTTTTCGCAACAGGCGGAGAGTTCCGTGAGCAAATTTTTAGGAAGAATCGATTCAGTCTTTGACAGACTTGCCACAAAAGTAAATGGAGATAACCTTGCCCAATTGTCACGCGAATATTATCACCGGAACTGTTGTTTCACTCGATCGCATTCTCGGCAGCTTTGTCCTAAGTCTTCAATCATTCGTGACATGTCTCTAGTACCATAAACCGCATCACTGTCGATTTCCGCTTTTGGGTGTACGAGTCGTCCTCTTTCGCAAATTAAAAATGGAGCTGAATTCTTTGATGGGGTTCAGCTTCCAGTGCAATTCTTCACTGAGGTAGCCCAAAAGATCTCAAAAAGCTGGAAATGATTGATGGAGTTACACCAGATTTTGACTTCTGTCTTGTAATTGCAATTGGTCCTGTCCCACACACGAACCGATTACCCCCTCCGCTGCGCCGCCTAGTGAGATCGTTTAGACAAAATTGTCCTGCAGTAATACACTAGGTTTTGACTGTTGCATTTCTAATCGAAGCTCAGGTGGAAGCAGCAAAGATGATAAGCACACCTCGCGAGAAACGGTACCACATCACGGGATTGTAACGTGTGACTGTTGTACACTACCACGGGATAACTTCAGGAGTACCTGTCTACACTCGAGTGAGTCACGTAAATCTCCTTGTCAATCGCCGCTTGCACTGATGATCGCAGAGTCAAACATTTTACTTTGACCACTGCTCAGGAACTGCGAAGCTGGTATTCTCGTGCACACTGGCTTCACGACTCAGGACTGTACATCGTGCAAGGCCGTGGCCATGGTGCCCTTGTCTTCTACTTCTTTTATGGGTTTCCTGGTTTTGTTTTTTCGGCTTTGGTACTGATGCTTTGCTTGGTTAGGCATTGTCACACAAGTGTAAACAATGAGTACAAGGATGGGTTCCGCAGTTGAACTAGAGGCAATGCTTTGAGCCCATGAACATATAGTTTGACAGAAGCCGTGAAGCGTTTCTCAGGTCAGAAATTTGATCCCTCCTCTAATCCGTTACCATGTGATGATATTTGCAACCCAGCAACCCACTTATAACAGTAAATCGCATATGGCAATACTGGAAGCTCCTCTCATTTGCGCCTTGCTAACCCAGACAGGTTCATTCTGGATGCCTACAGCTTGCAATAACGAAGCTAAAACCTATGATAGTTCTTGCTTTCGACAGGACTTCGAAAGACTATGGATTGGTCCCTCAAACACATCAACCCGATTCTTTTTTAAAAAAACAAGAATCCGATAAAGAAGTCTCTGCGATTACAGCGGAGCTTCGTTGTAGCATTTCTAGTACAACCCCTATTTCTTCGAAGGAAGGCCGTTCGAAAGGATTAGAATGCCAGCATCTGCACAGCAATTCCGTGAGTCGTGAATTCATGGGATGCAGCAGCTGCGGTCTCCGACCACTGAGAATGGCATCGTAGTTGCTGCCATCCAAGTCTTCGAAGGGTATGCATCCTGTCAGAATTTCATAGGACGTCATACCGAAGCTTTATACGTCTACCTTCTCTGTGAAAGCGCTTGGATCGTGGTTACAATCTCTTACAGCAACCAAAACCTCCGGCGCTCTCCAGAAGCCTGTCCCCGTGACGCCAACGGAGCATTCATAATCCGCTACTAAACAAGAAAACTTCGAAGCATGACTTGGATCGGGAAGATGCCGCTTCCTCGCATCCAACTTGATGAGCACGTTGGATGCTTTGAGGCCTTTGTGGAGGATCTTCTTCCTGTGCAGCTGCTTCATCCCAGGCGCGATCTGAGACATGATGGATAAGGCCTGGTGGTCTTGGAAAGGAGGCCCCTGGTTGTTGCGTTGCTCCATTTTGATGTCAATCAGCTTGCGCAGGTCACCCCAGCATTTGTACATCACAAATGCAAACCTGTCGTCCTCCATTACCGTTCCGGCGAAGACGATGGGCGAGTTGATGAGACCCAGATGGCCCTCAGGCGTGCTCTGAAGTATTCCATACGGCCATTGCGCTTGTAAAGATCGCAGAGAATAGCCAATTTTGAACAATTTCACAACAAATTCCATTCGAAGAACGTCTATGCCGCCTTCCACTTCAAAGATCTCTGCCTGCCCTCCCTCTGCAATTTTGGGACCCAGCACTAGGTTATCGCCCCATTTCTTCGAAAAATGGCCGCCCCACTGCTCGTTGATCCTGTCAAGGATTTCTCGGTTAGTCTCTTCGATCTCGGAGGCCGAAGCTTCTTCCAGCTCTATAGATTCTAAAGACTGCAGGTGACGCCCTTGATGCTGATGACTTCCAAGAGCTCTACAGCTTGCACACTGCAAGTTGCACGAGAATATTCTTCCTAGCTGCAAACACTGGAGCCATCTCCCAAGCTTCTTTCGAAAGCGGCCAAATCTTCCGGGCTGTTGCTTCTCATCAGTATTGGATACTCTGGCATCCATGTGTGCATCGTGATTTGCAGTAACATTCGATTCCAACTCGCTCCAATGGTCTTTAGATGCTTCAATCTCGAACTCGCTCTGGCAAGCGAACTCGTGCCTGCGCTCAATCATGCTTTGAATGCGAGGGGAAGCGTAAGGCAAAGAAGGGAACGCCGAATCCGGTGGCAACCTTGCACCCACTCGTGCTTGATTACCAACGCTCGTCTTAGCAATTCGATGAGCCGCATCTGCCATCGTGAACTCACTGTGTTCTGACATCATTAATTTAGTCGGTGTCTGCTACAAACGGTTCATTCTGAATGCACAACGTACATCACAAGCTTCGTAAAAGAAAGAGCAGCAACAAAAGCAAAATGATCGTTCAACCTGTGGCTATGAATGACAACCGATCCACTAATTCCTCGTCCAGGTTAACTTTCCTACTCTGTTTAGAAGCATCAGGATTTTTACGTCCAGACTCTTTGCAGCGGCCCTCAAATGTGATCTAAAACATAACCTTGTTCGCGAGGATTTGCTTGCAGAATTGCTAAGATAACAGCTCACAAACGAAATAATTCGAAACACTCTGATCAAGACCGAAGAATGCGAAGATGGAGATTCAAACTTCTTCACAAAAATGACGGAAATAATCAAGCCCCACACCCTAGATGGACGATAAAAAGCAATCATAGAGAGTGCAGAATGATGCGGAGAGCTCCGGGTACATAGGCTTTGCTTAAATGAAGGGGAGATCAGGCTCAAGAAAGCAGTCCCCTCGCAAATGTGAGATACAAAATGTGTTGAAAAGAGCTGGTCGATCTCGAGGACCAAAAAAACAATGTCAAAACGAGATTGCCAACTGCTGGTCGGCCCACCATGTCTGACCTTCCAAGTTGAGAACATTGATGTCTTCACGCCAACTCTTCCTCGTGACATTTGAGTCGTTTTGACCCAGCCACAAAAGTTTGTTTAGGCAGCGACCAGAGGGTAACATAACGAGGGGATTCTCAGAACTGCATTGATCGCAGCCAAGGTTTTTGTTACTATGCCGTAGGATTTCGACGTGCAGTTCGACGTCGTTTATCAACTATCTTAATGAAAGCAGCTTAAGGGGTGAAAGAAAAAGCCTGCTGATGATTCTTGCGAGCGTCGGTTCACGATTGAAATGGCAAAATCACTAAGAGTTTCGCACTGGTAGTGATGGTGAGTGTCCGAGTTAGAGTATGACATCTGCGAAGGATTTGTTTGCCGTTGACAACCACAGTATACAGAAGACACAAAGTTGATTGTCCTTGCAAGGTTGAGACGAAGGATTACACATGTGTCGAATGGCAAAAAGTTGAGTGACTTCAGCGGAGGGTAAACCTAAAAGTTTCTCTGTGAACTTGGTCAACAAATGAAGACCAAGGCGGGATGATCGGCGCATTTCAGATAATGGAAATCGTTCAACAAGTCAGTTTATCATCGTCACCGAATTGCACAGCCCCCGTTCCCACAAGAGAATCCGGCATTTGCAAGCAGAGCCTTTAGAAAAGCCAAAATAGACGTATGGAGCTGCCAGACGATTTCACTAGCTGTCGATTCATTCGCAAGCTCACAATCTACGACCCTCAAATTACAGGTCGAGGCCTGTGTGCTAATGATTCTCCTCTTATCTGGAACACGCAGGCAGATATCCTTCCCATGCCGCAACGTCGTCGAGGTTGGATAGTGGAACTCCCACGTCCATCTCACTAGCGCTGCATTGAGGTTTCCTTCTCGTGTGCATAAGCTTATCTGTGGGAGTCAATGAGGACTTTCGCATTGTCCAACAAGATGGCGGTCGCTGTCGCTGCGCATCCTGTGGTACCCGCCACTGCTCGCGCTCTGTGTCGAGGAGCGACGCAGATCCGGAACGGAGCAGAGCCGGTTTCTGTGCTTGTGCCGGTCTCAACCTCGTTTTCAAGGCTTGAGAGCGTCCGAGGTGCGGGAAAATTGGCATTCGGCAGGGGTAAGTGGTAAGCATACCAAGCTTCCTTTGGCCTTTGTGGATTGAGGGTGATTTTACGGAAGCTGGATGTAGATACCGAGGGACCTTTGTCAATGCGGGTTGCACTGGGTTGATCCAACTTCAATTCTTGCATACCTGAAAGTATTCACGGGCTTTCGTTGAGGATGGAGGGACTTTGATTCGCAAGACTCTGTTTATGAAGCAATGTATACTATACTTTTGAGAATCTTAGAGTGAAGTGGTCGAGGTTTGTAGCGGATTATCGACCGCCAGACGGGTACTTGTGCATATGGTCAAGAAGGTGACTGAATTAGGTCGTCGTAAAGAATCAGAGTATCAAAATAAGTAGTAAGGACAGAATCCTCAAACGCGATGCCCTGTTTTAATAGATGATTCGTGAATCTGCTGGATCTTTACATGGTAGCCCATCGGCGACTTGCATTGATCCTGATGATTACAGTCCTTTGGGCAATTTGATTAGTTCACGTGCATGTGGTTTTGCTTCGCCCTGCTGAGTTTAGTAATCCATCCTATGTCCATATCTGCAGACCTTCCGGGTTGCAACGGATATCGTAGTCACTGTTCCGTGAGAGTTCGAGCCTCTCAGCCAAGTCTCGAGGCTGTCCCGGTCCCTGCAGGATATCAAACGGTAATTCTTCCATCGCACTTGAACTAAACTCACCACAAGATGTACGCTGCACTATCAATGGCCTCTAAGATTGAAGTATTCGTTATTCGGGAACTCAACTTTGTCAACAACACATATATTAGTATCTTGATAATTAACTCTACATTTTCATCGATCTAGCCTATGAAGAATATTATGTTTTATCCATGCTTCGGAGCTGCAATTAGCAATAATTTTTATCCCACAACTATGAAAGTTTGAATGAGTTGGGTTCATTGGATGATAAGTTTGTGAGCTAGGTCAGTCTTTTATGATTGCTTTACAACTGCAATTTATTTTATTTTATTTTATTTTATTTTTTCCTTCAGTTCGTGGACCAGGTGAAGTCTCGTCTTGAGGCCGAGCGTCCAGACCTACCAGTTGGGAAGAACGGCCGGGACGACGAAGATCTCCTTCTGTGGTTTCTTCGTGATCGAAAGTTTGACGTTGACGCAGCTGTGGAGAAAATCACCACAGCCTTGGTAACTGCCTAATCTAAAATATGCTGATCTATGAACACCACCTCATGTTCCTTATTGACCTACCCTAATCTTCACTTCCAATTTGTACGAATACTTGAATATGTAGTAATTTTTCTACAAGCCTTGAAAGTCTCGAGTTCAACAACTTGAGCTGGTAGTGGCCGTGATCACTACCTTCAATTCAATTTGATTCTGAAATGAGAATATTGGGGCATTGTGTCAATGAATAGGTGTGGCGAAAGGAGTTTGGTGTAGATGAGATTACAAAGGATTCTATAAGCAGGGCTGCGGCCTCAGGGGAAGCTTATCTGCATACTTCTCTTTCCAAGGATGGGAAGCCAGTGATCGTTGTCACATCAGCTAAACATTTCCCAAATGTACGCTTTTCAACATAAATACCTTGATAGTCCCCATCTTGTTATTACCTATTAATACTCTTTGTTGTGAGAGATTACATACATCTCAATTCACAGGATCCTTTGAACCTGTCACTTTGCAATGATGCCAGAGCCAGTGGTGATTTTATGAGCTGGATTGGGGACATTCCTGCTTTGCTCATTCAGTCCAATAATTATTGTATGTATTTGTGTACAGGATGCAGAGTTACCGGAAAGCCAGAGACATTGCGTGTATTTGATAGAAAAGGCTCTCTCGCAACTGCCACCTGGTTGTGAGACATTCCTTGGTATCTTTGACCTGAGAGGCTTCAAACAAAAGAATGGAGATTTGAAATTCACTAAGTTTCTGGTAAGAACAGCTCAAGGAGGGGACTTCAATTTGGCTTGAACTTCGTTACCGTACGATGCGTCTCAGTTTAATTCACGACGTTACGTAATGTCAACCTTCTTTTTGTCTGAGGTAAGGAGCTTACCTTTCGTATGACGTCTGCACAGATTGATGCATTCTTCAAATACTATCCAAAGAGACTTGGGCAAGTGCTGTTCGTAGATGCGCCGTTTATATTCCAACCAGGGTGGGCTATGATTAAGCCATTGGTGGGCAAGTATGCTGCCTTGGTACGTTTCTTCCCTACTCTCAAGCCCCAATTTTGAACACCAAGTGTCGCAAACGCAAATTGCACTGTGAGACTGAGCAATGAACTGAAAACTTTTGCTGTTGCTTGTGGACCTTGCAGGTTCGGTTTTGCTCCGCAGATGAAGTGCGAAACGATTACTTTACTCTTGATACGATTCCTGAGAGTTTTAAGCAATAACAGAATTAATATTGCAGGATTAGAAGGATGGCATTTCTCAGAAAGAGGTGATATCTGGGTTTTACGGGTCGGATTCTGATCAGTTATGTATATCTTCTATGTAATAATGTTTTTGCTAATAGTTAGTGATGAGAAGTTTAAAGAATGTCTCGGTGGCAACAGAATGATCAACCATTCTTGTTGTTCTTCGTGCGCACTATTGCATCAATATCGAGCGCCAATGCCTCTGTTTCTTGACCAACAAATCTGCCAGCACCCTCCGTGCACCAGTCGTGAAAATTGCTCTTATCTTTGACTCTTGGGATTGAAAAAGTTTGGAGATCACTTCCACTTTAATGGCTAAGTAGATGCTGGTGTGTGAAGACAATAGAGCGTGAATGTAACCAACAGTGAACCTTGTGAATCATGCTGTTCCATGTTGAATAATTTTTGGAAAAATCGAAGTTCTCTCCTTCAATGGAACAAAATCAAATTTTCCCCCACTTGATGAGTAAGGAAACTTCCTTACTCTCAGGTGCAAGTTCTAACCTTCTCGTCTTTTTCAATTCAATATAAAAAATAAAAATAAAAAAAAAAAAAAAAAACATCATTGCCTCTTAGTCCATAAGGGGAGGAATGGATTAAGTATTTCATTGAATGGTGTATTTTTCATTCCATTTCTAATGTCTAATGCAGTCAAATGGGTAAAAATTGTGCGATTTAGAGAACTTGATCTGGATGTTGTCTGATCTATTTCATTGTTGCACGGTTGTATCTTCAATTGTGGGTCTTAGAATAGGAGAATCATATAGAAGAAACTTTCCAAGAAAATACATGCAGATGAATGGTTAAATAATAAATCAAAGAGTTGTTGATGTTTCTATTAGTCCGATTAAAATAAATGAAGATGAATTCATTTAATAGAAATATATAATTACTTTTCTTATCTTCCACTTTGTTCACAATAAAAAATTAAAAAAAAAAAAAAAAAAAAAAAATCGCTTAAAATTGAAAGAAGATAACCAAAGAGGACAACTTTAGGTGGAACTCATAACTTTCGGGCCCATTCTTCATGTCTTCAAAAATTATGTCTTCTAAAATTTTGGTTCATCTTTATTTGAATCTCATGAGAAGCAATATTCTACAATGAATTCTATGTTGGCACTTTCTCACTGGCTTCTTTAGTCTCCAAACATTTTCCTCTACTTTGGTCTTATACTTTAACGTCCTTTAATAAAGCAATTATTTACAACACAATTATGTGTTTTAGAAATTGTGTTATCCCTTTTTATATATAATCTTAACATTTATGTTGAACAAACCAGGAAAATTGGGACCTAAATTGAGGTTGGTCAAAATGGATTCTATCTATGTAAAAATGGATTCTATTTGGGTATTACATACTTGGTTTATTTTTGTTCTATTGGTTTGCCTCTGTACCTATAGATTTTTCTTTGGATCTTAATAAGACCTTAATAAGGGGCAAGATACTAGCCTTCTTTGTTATTGACATGGATTTTGGGTTTTAATAAATAATAATAATAATTTTGGTGTAAAAATAACATGATAAAATCTACTTAACTTTTAAAATTAAAATAAACTAAAATAATATTTAAAGTTTTAAAGATAGTACATAAATAAGCTGTAATATATAAGCTTTTGAATTGATTGACCAAAAATAAATCATCTTTTAAAATCACATACAAAAAGTCGATTCAAAAAACTTAGAAAAAATTCAAGTATCAATTATGACACTAAAAAATATAAAGATTAATTAAGATATCAAACGTTTATGATTTATTAATCTAAAATAAATAAATAAATAAATAAGATATTATGTACTTACAAGAAAATTTTAAAAATAGAAATGATTCTTTTATACAAATAAATTACACAATATATATACATATATATATATATATATATATGTAATTTATTTCAAATAGAATTTTTATTACTATTTTAAATAATATTAAAATAGAAATTTTATATCTATTGTGATTTTTTGAATTTAAAAAATAATAGTATTAGAATCATTGGTTATATATATATATATATATATATATTTGATGTGAACATAAAAAGTCTGTCAATTTAAGATTTTGTAATGCAAGAATTCAACTATTGTTAAAAAAAAATTATTATTTTAGAGTGGATTAGATTTTAAATTATTTTATTATTAATTTCTCTTAGATAAGTTTTACATATTTTTAATTGTGGTTCTTAATAAATGAATAAATAAATAAAATCCATTTCTTTTTTATCTTTTATAAACCATTTTATTAATATTAGTTGAAATGTTGACAAACCGTCTTTATGAATCAAAGAGAATATGTTGTTAATTAGAATTAGTCCATAATCTGAAAATACATATATATATATATATATATATATCCAATCAAATCAAATCAATTAAATCTTGAAAAAAAAATTAAATTAAAAATTATATACATAAAAAAATGTATCCAAATAAAAGATGCCAAATATGTGACTCTTGTAACTAAAGATGATTGCTTTGATATGAGAGTCTTATTCAAGGATAATCAATGAGTTTGTTTTAAGCATATCAACTTTTTTCTTAATAAATTTGTGATTCTTGTAACTAGAGATGTCACCACCTAAATGTATATCTTTACTTTTTCAATCAAATACTTTGTTGATATTTCAATTTTTATTTTTTTCAAATTATATAGAAGTTTAATTTAATTTTAATAAAAATAATTACACAATTAATATAAATAAGTTGTGGCAATCTAAAAAATTGTAGTAGTATTAGCAGTGTCATATATATATATATATATGTATACACACATACTACAGATATTTCTTTTACATCAAGTATCCTTAAAAAAATTACACAATAATTCTTTTAAGAAAAATCTAAATTAACCCACCTTTTTAGCAAATTAACCCATCATTTCTTAATGTTTGTATTCTTCATTTTTTACGACTATGTTTTTTTATTGGCCTGACTATACTTTGGGAGTTTGTAGTGATGGAGGAGCTTTGTGGGCTCTACTTTTGTATCTTTGCTTGATTTGCAAAAGGGTGTGATTCTTATTTAAATGGGTCAATTTAGCAAAAAAAAAAAGGGTTGATTTAACAATTCCCATCCTTACTTGGCCATTTCTGGCTCACCCCATGACCGTGGGCATTGGAACAGACCACATTCTTGCCACGTAGATTAGCAAATAGTCGCTCTTCTATTGGGCCAACCCCTTTTGTGACACTTCAGACATCAATCCCGCCATTTTGAGAGCACCTTCATTCAAAGGAAAATCTCAGTTATATTGAGGAGGGAGGCAAGGCTTCGTAAACGTAGATGGCATTGAATGCATGAGGAGTCAACTATAATTATGATAATCATAAAATAATGCTTCAAATTATCTCACAACGATCTCTTTGACCTGTTTTTTTTAGTGTGTGACAATCAAATTATTATTTATAACTTTTGTATTTTGTGTTTTGTTTTTGTTATCATTCAATAAACATGGAGACAAAATAGTAAAATCTAAATCTCTCAAATGTATTTTGAACTGGATAAGCTTCAATTTATATCACTTAATGTATGAGAAATTATTTAAATATCCTAGGAAAGATTGTTACAAACTTACTTCAGTGTAATTATTTCTTATAACAAAGAACAATCATTTCAAAAATATTAGATTTGTCAACAATCATAAATTCTTTTTATGTAAAAACTTTCCTTAGTGTTTAATTTTTCACTTTAAACCCTGTCTATGATTCATACAAAGAGGTGGAGTATAAATATTTGAAAAATTGCCTTTTCACAAGTATCAATTTTTTTTTTCTTTTTTTTGGTTTTGTTTGTGAAGATGTAACAAGAATCATGTCTTTCATGACAAAGGTGGTAATATATCACATCATCAAAACCAAAAAATCACATCTTGATATAATCAAACTTCTCAGGTAATTAATTTGTACTCTGGACAAACCTTATTTCTAATAAATTCAATAATATGGTTACAACACTTGTGTGTTCTTAATTTTGAAAATCAAGTATTTTCCTTGTGTAAAGTTTCAAATAAATAATGCTTAAAGTTTATAAATACAATGTGATGGAAGGTTCTTCTTGTAAAGTACAATTTTTTGTAATTTTAAAAGAATCCAGATTTGGTCCGTTATTTATTTTTTTATTTTTTTATTTTTTTACTTCTTGAAATGTTGAATTTATGTTGAATACTTGATAAATTAACATTAGAATACTAAATGCTCATAAATGAAATACTTTTGTTGAGGAAAATTTGTAAGGTATTGTCAATATTTTTTAACTACTAATAGTTCAAAAATGATGTTGTTTAGATGTCTTTGAATTAAAGGTAGTATTATCTTATTATTTTCTTCAGTAATAAAGTGACTGAGAAATCAAAAGATACCTGACTTCAAGTTTAGAATGAAAATAAATAAATAAATAAACTATTAGAAGTGCAGCCTAAATTCCATTTATCAACCAAAATTATAAATAAAAAAATATTATGTATAATATAAATTAGTTTAAGTTCTTATCCATTAAAATTTTACATGAACAACACCGTCAAACAAAGCATCAGAACTAGAACATTTGTTTTTAAAATTAGAAGATCATATTCCCTAATGAAAAACCCCTATGTGAAAAAAAAAAAAAAAAAAAAAAAAAAAATGTAAAATTTGAATATTATAGATAAGACATGATAAATTCTAGAATCGCGGCGGTGGCGGCGTTAACCCTACAAGCGACACTTTTAGCTCCCGCGACAATGGTCGCTGCTTGCCGGAATCTGCAGCTCGCGACCTTGGCGTTGAGCCGTAAGAATCTTGTGTGCAATCGCTGCATGAGCCTTGAATCAGCCTTCACTTGGAAAAAGCATGAAGATACCGTGTAGCTCAGTTGAGTTTCCGAAGCAGCAAAAGACGCTGAAGGCAGACCTCTTTGCTAGCCAACATCACACAATCGTCTTCCTTGAATCGACGCCACCATGAAACTGAACGCCCGCATCGCTGTCACAAGCGAACCCAACAACTATCAGCTCGAAAGATCGATAAAAACGAAGCACATCGCGTGAACTGCCGAACCTTTACTGCAATTTCACGTTTCTACCATACTTTGCAGACCAGGTGTCGTCGTCGTAAGTGCTGCCCATGTAGATTTTTCCAAGCGAATCAGAGGAATCGCATTTTTGTCTCTGGTTTTTGTTTTTCTTGTTTTTTCTCATGTTGTTTCATGAATAGAATCAGTGCAGGGTGATGGAGGTGTCACTCTGCTAGCGTTGGTTGCAGCTGACATGTTTCAAGCTGACCGTGAGGACAGTGTAAAGTGTCAAGTGTGGAATTATAAGGCCGAGTGCCCCAAGTGGGGCGCAATGGGTGACATGATAGTTGCATACATTAGAAAGGTTGCGAAGGATTCCTTGAATGAGCTGCGGACGCCTTGGCAGCACATCGATATACTGCTTGTGCGATGGATTCTCTGTAAGAGCCTGAGGCAAGTCTTCGAGATTCCCTGCATCAGATGTCGACCTGAGTTGCACCGGAATTTTTTTCTACAACACCTGGATTAGGGTTGGTGCCATGGGTAATGCAGCAGGGCAAGGGGGAAGAGAACGTCGCAGGTTCACCTTAATTCTTATCAACTTGGCTGCTGTTTTGGAGCGAGCCGGTGAGGCCCTCCTTCGACCTGTCTACGATCAGGTGTTCACTCTTCCTAAGATTCAACGTTAATCTTTTGACTAATCTTGGTGACTGTTTCATGTGATGAGATTGGACTCCATGTTGTCAAGTTTCTGCCTGGTTACGTATTATGGCTTCAGAGGCTGTCTGTAGTTATGCACAAGTTTTTGGAATGTTCCACGTGAGTCCTCTTTACTTAGACACAAATTCTGACAGTGTAAGAATACTTGATAGCAATGACTGAGATTACTGAATTAGACACACAATTACAATACCCCATCCTTAAGTCTCCGTGCTGATACTTTTATTTATTTATTTATTTATTGTTTCTTAGTCTTGCAATGAACTATGTACCAAGTGCACTAATCAATGTCAATGAGAGACAACGTGTGCAGGTCGGAAAATCCTTTGGAGTAACATCTGCAGCGTTAGGAACGTTAACATTTATAAGGTCACTTGTTCAAGCACTGTCATCTCCTTTGGCTGCCTATTTGGCAATTAACCATGATCGAATTATTATCATTGCGAGTGGTGCACTGGCGTGGGCTATTGCCAATGCAGCTGTTGGGGTGTGCACTGCTTATTGGCAGGTAACGATGAAACCATCTTACTAATCTTGTGTGCAGTTCTCCTGCTTGAAATACGTTGTCCTGTTTCCAGAACAACGTGCTACTGATGAACACATAACATGTAGAGTACAGCCCTGAATTCATGACAAGCAAGTTTCTAATGATCGGTCATGTGCAAGTGTGCAAGCGGGTTTGATTTGCTGGAAGATCTCAGTTTTTATGCCTGAACGACTTGGTTTTTGAATATCAAAGCTATTGATTGAATTTTTTTTAAGGTTGAGATCCATGTATTGCAGGTGGCTATTGTGAAAGCTTTCAATGGCATTGGTCTGGCGATGGTGGTTCCTGCAATACAATCGCTTGTTGCTGACATGCATGAAGAGAGCCAACGAGGAATGGGGTTCGGCTGGCTTCATGGAGCCGGCCAAGTTGGAACACTCTTGGGTGGTGTTTTTGCGACATTTTTGGCTGCGAGGACTGTAGGGGTTTTAGCTGGATGGCGTTTTGCATTCTTTTTTATTGCGATCGTAATCTTGATCCTAGCAGTTGCAATTTATCTATTTGCCGAAGATTCAAAACCGCCTTCTCGGACAGCAGGGATACCCAGGTTAGTAAACGCTTTCGTCATGTCAGATGGCGTTTGTGTATGAAATTCTCCATTTTCTATCCTTATTTTATGATAAAACTCCGACAAGATAGTTATTTACATACCAAATCATTTCTGATTAGTGGCATTTCCCTTGTTCAGTCATGGGTCACTTGATCAAAATGGCAACGCAACAATTCCAACATGTCCACAGAAGGAAAGGCGGGTCAAAACGCTCTGGAAAGGGACAAAGAAAGTGTTGAAGATGAGGTTATCTGCTCTATGGTTCTCTCCCATGAGGTGTTGCTCTCTGCATTACTTCAATAACACCTTTCATGAACACCTATTTCCTATTTATGCCTTACATCTCTAAGAAACTGATTCCGACTGCAGGTTCCTACTTTCCAAGTTATTTTGGCTCAGGGCCTGGCAGGACAAGTCCCGTGGCAAGCCATGTCTTTCATGACACTGTGGCTAGAGCTACTTGGATTTGGTCACACTCGGGCTGCTTTTCTGGTGGCTCTCCTCTCAATCGGCAACATGCTTGGGTCTATTTTTGGTGGTTGGTTAGGTGACACAGCCGCCAGACGATTCCCAAATGTTTGGCGTATCATGTGTTCTCAATTTTCAACTTTTGTCGGTATACCTCTCTCAGCGATCCTCTTGTTGGGACTACCGCTGATCGTCAGGTTTGCGTGGGCATATGGCTTGATTTTCTTCTTCATGAGCTTTTTGATGTCGTGGAATTCGCCAGCAACAAACTGACCGCTATTTGCTGAAATTGTCCCAACTGAACTCCACACCACAGTGTACTCGATCGATCAGGCTATTGAGAAATCATTGGCAGCTGCTGGGGCACCATTAGTGGGAATACTAGCGCAAAGTTTATTCCATTATCATTCACAGAAGGGAAACTTTACTCCAGATTTTCATAATGCGAAGGCCCTAGCTCACGGCTTGTGTGTGCTGATTGCATGCCCATTCTTCATAAGCTTCCTGGTCATCACTTTCTTGTACTACACGTATCCGAGAGACAGAGACCGTGTGAAGGAGACAGATCCGTCTGCGGAAGGAATGTGCGGCCAAGCCAAATTGGAGGAACCCCAATAAGCCTTAATGAAAATTTTGTCGTTCTGCAAAGATGGTCGGGGCGTACAGTAATCTACTCTGTGCCATTGCGCTGTAATAATTGGTCGGTAGACGAGTGTAAGGATCAGATGTACTCTAGTTAGGATTAGGAATTCATTTTATAGCCACGTTGGCTTTGTGATCTGCTTCTCCAGAAGGTCTGTAATGAATTCCTATTTAGGTCTGTGCATACAAGCAGAGCTCTTGAAGTGCGTTTGTGGAGCTGAGTGAACTCAACTTATCCTGTCTGTGCTCACTTCACCATGCTATCTTTGGCTTGTCTTTCGCTATCATATTTCATGTGATTACGATATGGGTGAGCCATTTTACTTTCTGACTGCGCCTTGCAGTCTTGAATGGTAATCTTCTTGCTTTCTTTCTTTCTGTCTTTCTCAAATAGTTTTCATTTCGCCGCGTGTTTCGAATCCCTTAGGTTTTGGAAGCTAAATTCTGATTGGTAGATCCATAAATATGAGTTCTGAACATGTCGTTCACAACGAATGATGGTTGTGGCTGTTGTAAATCCTTGTCAGCGCTAGAACTGCATCGTTTAGGGAACTGGATTCTCAGCTCTGCATTGCGCGCCTAGCGACAAGTTCGGTGTAGCGTAATTTTAGTAAATATTTTGGCGGTCGATGCTCTTAGGTGCGAGTACTCGAAGCGCTGAAGAGGAGGGGGGGGGGGATATTAACAACAAACTTGTATTATACAGGCAGCTGCCTGTCTTACGAATGTGCTTTTACTGTCAGTGCTGCAGGCATGTTGCAACAAGGATAAAACGAAATGCGATTGCAAAACTTTGAATGAATTACTCTACATTGGAATGATGAGTGAGAAGATCTGGAGGCCTATCAAACACACACTAGCCCACAGTTTGATGGGTAGAACGACGTCGCCGTTGAGCTTGACGAAGATGTACTATGTTTTTCCACCGCACCGATGCGGCGGACGTTTTTACCGAGTGGAACACGCAGTGGCTTTTCACATGCCCACCAAGCACAAGGACTTAATACTATGCGACCGAGCCACGGTGTGACTCGGCTAATCATACTGAATTTGCTTACTCTCAAAAGCATTCATCGAGCTTGAGCTTGAATCACAATTTCTGACACATTGAGCTTGAGTTCGATTTCTTGCTCTGGTGCTTCAATTTTGAAAATCGACGAATGGTTTCAACGAACGGCGTCAGAAGCAACTGGATCAATTCAGACTTTCCGGGAAGAGAGATTCTCGCTGTGCGGTGTCAGTTGCGCAGGCAGTCGTCTGCGCCGGGGGTTCCCGCCTACGTGCTCTAAACTAAGCAGGTGGATCAGCCTTCCCGGGCTTACGACCAGGCACTATTGCCGGTACCAGACAGCGCCTTCAGTGCCGACTAATTTTTGGCGGAAGCCTAGTTTTATGCATATTCTTGTGTAAGTTCATGTGCTGGCACGGCAAACAAGCAGCTGCAAGTGCATGACGTAACTCGCGGTGTCACGGGTGCCGCGAACCGTAACACCATTGAACCCATTACTACGGATATCGAATGATACCCATTCCCACTAGTTTAAAATACACATCTGGATATGGCAGCACTTGGTTACGTAAACTGTAGGTTGCATGCACTAGGTCTAATAATAATAAGCGAGTTGGTAGGGAGAGGAGAATCGTCGCCGCAACATATGCTCATGCAAACTGTATATATTTCCTCAGTCCTCCGCTCGAAACATGCGTTGCTAGCCGCTTCCTCCTTGATCAGTACTGACGAGCACCCGAGTCCGATCAGATTGTACTTACTGCCGTTTGCTTGTGCAACGATCACAGTGCTTCTCAGCACCTAAGACCATGGCTAAGTCGCTGCTTTTCGTCGCGCTTCTGGTGACTTTGGCTGTTGCGGCTCAAGCCAATTCTTTACCAGCTCCTCCACCAGCTACTACACCAGTTACTTCACCAGCTCCGGCACCTGCTCCTCACCACCACTACCACCACGACCATGACTTCTCCCTGAAGCTTATCCTCCACAACGTCGCCAAGCGGGCCGTGACCTTCAAGTTGGTGAAGCCCCTGATCTCGAGGGCGGTGGTTGTCCCGCCCCACAAATGGAGCTCGATCGCGCCCTTCACCCCCAAGTACCCCAGCATTGAAGTCGTCGTCATCGTGGAGAATAAGACCTACAAGACTGTGACCAAGAACTTAAAGATCAACTTGCTGCAGCACTTCGGGCACAAGGAGCTCAAGGGTGACAAGTTTTTGGTGCTCACCGCTGTGGAGAGCTGGAGCTGGAAGTCCAAGTACCTCCTCGTCACCATTGGTGAAGTGGTCATCCTGTCGATCAAGCTCTAAACTCACAATCCCAGGTGCGACACGAAACCCTCCCATTTTATTCCAATAAAGTTTAGTCCGGACTGTTATCGATTTACTCACACTGCGTATGTCTTCGTATCTGCTGATAAAAAAACCCACACTTGCCGATCGTCCTTCGCAGTTGATAATACTTTGTTTTCCACCAACATACACGAGTTGAAATCCTACTTATTTAATTAATTATTTATTTTTGTCTATTTGTCGCAGGGATTTCTGAATCGCGAGGTTTTTTTAGAGGGATGCGCAATCGGGTGAAGAACTCTGCATTGTGTGGAATCCAACTAGTATTGTTTGAGGGCGACTTGATGCTTACCCAGCATGATTGGCTGGTCGATTGTTTTACCACTTATTATTGAATAAAAAACCAGAAGTTTCCATGACATAAAAAACAAGAAAAAAAAAAAAAAAAAAAAAAAAAAAAATCCTACCTTAAGCGGGTCCCGACCTTCAAGGCAGACACGGTTTCTACTGCATTTTTAATCAAATGATCCAGAACTGCATTTGGTGTCTACAATCGTGTTGTTTCTATTCTACTTATTCGTTGGCATGCACTACCAGGAATCAATCTTTTCTCTGTCAGTCGATGGTGAATCGCAAACATTTGAACAGAAAATTGCTTGCAACTAGAATCATCTTCATATGACTAACATTATCATTTCTGCAGGTATTGTACGTGAAGCAGGGTGGGGCCTTAATCTCATGCTTCTAGTTCCATTATACTCTTTGAGTGTAGAAACACCAAGCGCACTATGTGCATCTTTGTGACTGATGTGCCTGCCTCCTCATCAAACCTTTGCGTAGAAATGTGAAGGTGCTAGACGTCGTTCATTGTGTGAACTGGATCACCAATTGCACAGGCAATCCTGTGAGCACCCCTCCCGCGTGTTCACAGTTTGTGCTTGGCAGAGCTGGAGTTGGTGAATTGTGATATATATATATATATATATATTCATTCATTAGTTCATTCATTCAAAAACACATACATAGACTAAAATAATTGTGAGTATAGTTTTGTATACATTTGGAGTTTTGGATTACAGCTTTTCCCTTATGACTGTTTGCAATTTTTATTTTTTTATTTATTTATTTATTTTGGTTCACACAAAGGTAATGCATATTCACACATGGATAATGCATATTCGAATATGTGAAAACAAATTTATCATTTGTATCTTATTTGTTCTTAAATCATTAATATATTACTAATTTGTAGATGCAATTATTATTTTTACTTCATTTTCTCTTTTTAATTCATCAATGTGAATTTAAAATAGTAAATCATATTTCAAAACCAAGATGGTCCAATTGTGTTTGTATGAAATAATAAAGATAGTTGAAGTAGCAATGTAACATACTATCATTGTGTAAGCAAAACTGTGGTTTTCAAGAGGATGTACAATAAATTGGTATTTGTTTTTCAGAACTTATGAACAATATGCTAGATAATTATCTGAATAGCTCGAATTTTAATAGAAACATGCAATAATTTAAATTGACACTAGTATTGTAAAACATGTAATGTAATTTACATATTATTTAATATGAAAATATTTAAAAATACACATTTTCAAGCATCAATCTATCTCAAAAGTCAACTATATAATATGTGTAATTTTAGTATTAAAGACATATTAACCATGTAAAATCAATTTTTTTATGATTTTTTAAATATTTTCTCACACACACACACGCACATATATATATATATATATATATATTAAAGTAGATTCAATTGTTTTATGATTTTTTAAATATAATATTTTCAATTAGATTGAGTGATTAATTTCTTTGTTTACTTTTTGGATGCAATGATATCAAGCTAAAGATAAATTTAAAGAATAAGAAAAGATAAATTTAATATTTTTAAAAAACTAATACAATTTATGTAGATATTAATATCTAATATGGGATGTGAAAATTTCATAATAAGAGTTTTGTGTGACATGGTAGTAAATTTTGTCAAAACATTTTTCTTATTATATTATTGCAAAGAGTTATACATTTTAAACATATTATAATTGTAAGCCTCTTTAGAATTTATTAAATAAGAATTTTGGATGCTTATATTAAATATAAAAAAGTTATACTATCTTATTGTAGTGGCTTTGGATAAAATTTTTATTTTATATAAATTTCTAATATTAGATCTGGAGTTGCACACTGTAGGCATGTAGAAAATTTACAAATTCTTTACAATATTTTGTATTTTTTTTGTAAGTTTAAATTACATTCATTTTTAAGTACAAAAGTTATTTTTGTTCACTATGTAAGTTTTATAAATTTCTTGATTATATATATATATATATAATTTAAATGTAATAAATTATAATATTTAATTAAAATCAATGTAACAAAAAGGCTTTTTTTGAATACAATCGAAAAAAAAAAAAAAAAATCTTTCTTATCTTCAATACAAAGTTTAAATGATTTTATTTTAAAATCCATAAATTATTTCTTTAAAAATCTTCAATATTATGACCAAAATACTAAAAATGTATATTCAAATTGATTGTTTAAAACATTTAAGAATGGAATAGCCAAAATTTTCTACTAAAAATTAATTTTGTTTTAATTTTTTGTTTCCTACATTGAAGATGTGTAATACCATTTTATACATTACTTCACAAGAAATATAAATATCGTATTTTCTTAAACATACATATTAATTCATCTTTATTAATATTTTTGTATATTTAAGAAATAATATTTTTACATATTAACATTGATCCAATTTGAATATATAATATAATAGTGGTTATTTATTAACCAAAAGAATTTTAAGACAATCAATCTCATCTAATTTTCAAAATTATTATTTATCTTCAATTATTTAAAAAATTTAAATAAGATTAAATAAAAATATAAAATAAATTATAATTTAAAGCCATATGTACATAGTTGTGTTTTGTTTCACATTCTTTAGATGTATCAAAATCATATATTTAATTAAAAAATAATTAAATAATTAAATGTGCAAGAGATACAATAAATCTCAAGATATGATAAAAATAAAAATTTAATAAGTTATAATTTTTTAAAATATAAATTTAGTATTTTTTATAGCTTTAAATATTTATTATGTTATCTTAAATTTATATAAAAATCTTATAATTTTTTTTCATTTATTTTTAAAATATAAAAAATATTAAAAATTATATATATTAGATTTTAATATATAATATAATTATATTCTATAATATTAAAAATTACATTTATTAGATTTTAATATATAATATAATTATATTATATAATATTAAAAATTATATATTATTGCATTTTATTTTTTTAGATATTGTTACAAGCTTTTATTTTAATAAATATTTCAAAAATATTTCAAATATTTTAAAAGTTTGTTATTAAGTTGGTAATTTTATTTCATTTTATTCACATTTTAAATCTTTTGTTTCTTGTCCAATTATGATTATTTATAATAAATTATTGTGAAGGATTAAATTATAGATAATAAAAACTTCAATACATCCTTGTGTGACTAGAAAAGACTAGATATTTATTCAAAGATATTTTAATATTAGAACTAGAATACCTATTGCCAAAGTTAAGAAGACTAGAGACTATTAAAACAAGACTAAGAACAAAAAAAGGCTTTGACAATAGTGAAGAAGGCTTCACTCTCTCCTTCATATATGTTATCTAACTGGTAGCTATGCAACAATGATCTATAAGACCTTCAATACATGTCCAACTTACAAGATACATGTCTAGCTTACAAGATAAGTTTCTTATATGTTTGCCACATGGCCAACTTGTTGGCCAAGTTTTTAACATATCAATCATCTGCAAACATATATAAAGTCACATCCACATCTATAAAGCTTCCAAGAAGTTTATCTATAAAATATCATCAAATCTATTTATTTCTATTTATTTTTATTTACTACTATTTAACTCTTTTAATCTATGCAAATATATATGTCCATGAAAATTATGTTCTTGATTTAAAAAAACATAATATTAATTTTAAGTTAGCAAAATTTGTATGTGTAATTACTTTTATTTATATGTGTAGTTAGATTAATATTTAAATTTTATAAAATATTATAAAATAAAATAAAATAAAAAATATTAGAAAATATGTTATATATATATATATATATTCTCTTACTTAAAACATCTAAATAACATTCAAAGATAATGATTTTTATATTTGATGTGTATTTAAATTTTTGTTTAAATTTGAAATCAAATATTTAATATGATAATATACAAATAATATTTTATAATAAAAATTAATTTTGATATTTCCACATATACAATGATATTTCTATTATTCAATACACTAAAGGGTAATAATATTATGTTGTTTTACAATGTAAAGAAATATGTTGCACTTTTACATATGTTGCTTTTTTGTGTTTGTTACACTTTTATAATATACTTCTCCAAATACAATTAAGATTATTTATCTCAAAAACAGCAAGGCAAAAAAACCACAATTTCCACAGTCTTTTCTAAAAATATTTAATCTAGCTATTTTATCTGTTGCAGTACATAAGAATTATCTTTGCTAATAATATCAAACAATCAAAAAAGATTCTAATGTGATTTGATTTTTTTCGTTTTTTCATATTGTTTTTGGATTTGCATTTCTTTAAGAGCTATTGATTTAAAATACAAAACAAAGTTCACTCCTCCCATTAATTTGATGGGTCAATATGCTAGTCTTTTTTAAAACTTATTTTAAAAAGACAAAGAAATAGTTGGTTGATTTGAGAATTCAAAAGTCATGTGTCCAATAAAAACTTAATTTCTTGATCTATTGACAATAACATAAAGACACATATCAACATCACTTGAAATACAAATTTATGCCTTAACAAAAATTTGAAAAATAATGCAAAAATATTATCAAATAATTGATGGAACATTTTTTTAAACCATCATTAAAAAATTAAAGAGTCTACAACTCCAAATTAAGCATTACCATTGAAAAGAGACACAACACAAACAAAAATGCTCTTAAAACAAGAGTAGAGGACAACATATTTCTCATGATTACATACATTTCATTTTCTAGAAGGCATACATGTACCTATTACATACGTGAGCGAATAAATGAGGAAAGATTATTCAAGATATTCATGTCTAGAGGTATCTTCTGTTTTATTATTATTATAATTGATATTCTTATCATGATTTGAAGCCTTTTCTGTTAACGCCAAATATTCTTTCACATTTCATCCTACTGTTGTCAGTGCAAAAGATTAACATTTTGGTTGATTTCTTGTATATTATCACTTGTGTTGAGTTCAAGGTGTGAAGACTTACAATGACTACACATCCATGCACTCCTTGGAGACTGTTGTATGATAGACTGTGAGTTACATTTGCTGAGATCCTCTATTTAACAAACTCAGAAACTTGCATGGCCTCTCAGAATTTAGAGTCGTTGATGAAGATTACAACACTCTACCCTAATCATTCTTCACAGAGCAATGAATTGAGCTTCATCTTAACAAAGGTCTAATATTTTTCTAGAAAATAACGTCACATTTGTTGAAAAATTTAACAGCCTTCACCTGAAGTGGAGAATAATCCTTAAAGAATACCAGTGATAACTAGTATCATAATGCGTTCCAACTTGTTTAAGGATCTGTGCCAACCTATGCATAATTTGTTGCATGTGTGGAGAAGGACAGATACATTTACGAGTTTCTTAGATGGGATGAATCACGATAGGTCTTAGCAACAACAGCTTCTGATTGAAAAGAGAGAATGCGACACACATAGCTTGGTATTGCAACTATCGATGAGCAAGGAATGTTCAATCTTCTGTATGAGACTAGACTGGGTGTAATCAAGGCCCATTGTCTGCCTTCACTGTTTCGGATATGCTAATAGAATGATTAAAATCGGGAACAAGGTAAAGGTCTTGTCAACAGTCCTATTTATGCTATAGATCATTAAGAATTGTATACCTAGCACGCGTACACTTCTAGAACCATGTCCGAAGCCTTCTGGTCAGATCTTTAGTTTCAACTTGATCTATCTTTGACGCGAAGATGAAGTCATTCTCGCTCAAGCCTCCTGTTACCCAATTACAGATCATTAGGTTTATGACATCTAACTACAGTGGCAAGGAAAGGCAATCCTGACAGTGGGACTAGAAAAGAAAGCTGAGAGACCCTCAGTCGAGAGTTCATCTGAAACAGAATCCAATATTTGAGCTGGAGTATGTCTTAGTTAGCAAAGAGCAAAAGGAAAGAAGGGCTCACCTATCGAAGCAGTCCAGATCTCGACCCTAACTTTGTTGCTATCCAGCGTTTGAATCTCGTAAGGGTAGTTCTCAGCCTCTTCTGCTACCTTACTAATGCGGGCGCTCAATTCAGTCACGGAAACCGCATCTTTCAAAAGCCAATCGCACTGGAGCTTAAGCCCTGCTTCGCTTGAGCCCAGATTCACAAGCCTCCAACCTACAACCTGTTCAAATCACACAGACAATGGCTGTTATTCTGCACTCTTAAGTTCAAGGGTTCAAGAACGCGATATTTTTTTTGTCTTGGAATATTCAATACACACTGTTACTGATGGAATTACTAAAATGGAGAAGTGGAGGAATTATTCCGACATCAAAAGCATTGCAATTCTCCCTTACTGTAGCTCTTTAAGAAGATACTGATCAATCTCCATTCGGGAGACTAAGTTCCCTTTCGCCGTTCTCAGTCCCCATGAACTAGCATTTTGAGGTAAAGTATGTGGGTTGAGTATCAAGCTACACGATAGATGTAAAATTACACAAGTGAGAGCGAAAGAGAAATTCTACTGGAATTTTCATGGATTCTATTCTATATGCAATCATGGAGATACACTGGGAGGGTTCGGAGAAGTATGATCAAACTACCTTGCGGAGTAAAGCCTTCGCCTCACCCTCAGTCATGGGAGCTGTATTCTCTGCGAGAGGTTTAATTGTCCTCTCAGAAAGTTTCAGGACAGACAATGTCGGAACTAAAATTTGGTGCTCGGTAGACGCATTACCTAACGTCTTCTCCCCAAAGTTGCTTCCTAGTTCTCCTGAGGATTTGAAAACAAGTCACAATTGTCAACAATGCTTACCCCCTTCACATCTTTCTCAATCAGTGAGATCACTCGAAATAGGAGAAAAATCCAATTACATGGCGTACAACAAGCGGTTTCAAATATAAACTCTCATAACACACAAGCCACCTTCGATACCCCAATTCACGAAAGATGTCGACAAAATCTGCATGATATCCTACGCACTTCGAACCGAGAACCAATCCCACAAAACCCTGTAGCGCTAGCTCAATCCTTCCTAGAAATAAACCACAGTCACCACAGAATCCTCCTCGATTTCTGACCTGCGGTAGGGTCACGAGCTCCGAAATCACCCAACATGTCGCCGTTGGCTCGCACCATCAACCTCTCCCCAGCGCATCTCTTCCTCCCAACAGCAACAGCGACTACGCCAAACTTGCAGCTGCTACAGGGGCCTGCGAGGAGCTGGAGCTGACCTACGTTAACAAGCGCGCGGTGCGTGGTGGAGAACGCCATCGCCATGGTCGCTGGATCTGAATCTGCAGCAATCTTCACCAAATCCTCCGCCTCATGAACTGTTTCCTTCAGCAGCTCATCACCCGCAAGAAGAAGCTCCAGCACCACACCTTATCTATCCTGGAGGTTGTTTCTATGCGTAACTGGCGCCTCGGCCAGAACGTTCCAGAACAGTTCTCACCAGTGAAATGCTCTGGAGTTTGCTTGACAACCGCCAGAGAACCATCCAAGGATCCGCTTCCCAAAGCTCCGCCCAGTTATGAGACTAGGGTCTCAACTTTAACGGGTATCAGCCATCGCCAACTGTAACGAACACCCGAATTTGTTTCTGGCGGCTCGATTCTTCGGCGTTGTATCGAAGCTTGAATTGCGAGAGGACTTCAGATTGGCGTGAGTGGACGTCGAAGGTGGTCACGATCCTTCGAATTCTTCATCGTTTTGCTTCTGCAAGTGATTGTAAGGTGAGGCTATGAACATTGCTGTGGCGAAAATAAGTTAGGGTTTCGGAGTGGCTTGGCGAGGTTATGAACTGTGAGCGTATTTTTGAGTCGGGTTCGTCAGTTTTGTCATCGCAAATGGACATGGACGGTTGCTTTTGACTGTGTGTTTGTTTATTTTTTTCCTCATTCCTTGTTTTGTTATTATTTGTTTCTTTGTTTAAGCGAATTCGCGCTATTGGTTTGTGTATTTTGGTTGTGCGAAGGAATCCGTCTGGAGACGCGAGTATAGGGAGAATATTGGAATAGGGTTTGGTTAGGATGAAGATCGAGGAGGTGCAATCCACTACGAAAAAGCAGAGAGTTGCTTCTCACACGCACATCAAAGGCTTGGGCCTCAAGGTTAGTATTTCCCGCCAGTTTTGAAGTTTATCGTGTTTTGAGTGGTATTTTATTAGGACCTGTTGTTGGAATTGTGGTTTTATGTTCGGATTGAGGGGTTAAATCGTGTATTGGGTGCGAAGGAGCATGAGAGCATCGATATGTTGGCGGAGGGATGTCTGACTATCGCACGGTTTGAATGATGTGCATTCTCTTTTTTTTCACATTTCGGGTTCCAGGAGGATGGCACAGCGATGGATGTGGCCGCTGGATTCGTTGGCCAGGAACAAGCTCGAGAAGCTGCTGGGCTGGTTGTGGACATGATCCGGCAGAAGAAGATGGCCGGCCGCGCACTTCTCCTCGCCGGGGCTCCTGGAACGGGGAAGACTGCTCTGGCTCTTGGAATTGCCCAGGAACTCGGTAGTAAGGTAACGGCAATGCTTCTTCAATTGAAAACGTGTCAAGGCTCATGTCAATGCTCCTACGAGTTCTGCATTTATGGGATATTAGAACTTTTGGAGCACATATCCTGCGAGTATAGGACATTTTGAGCTGTATTTCGAACTCCTAATTCAATTGTTAAGTCTTTGAAAGTATTGATTGAATGCTTTGAAAATGATTTGAAAGCCTCCTTCTCTGGGCATTCCTATTGTTTCATCGAGCCATGGTTTGTATTCCCTTTTCAGGTTCCATTCTGCCCAATGGTAGGGTCCGAAGTTTACTCATCAGAAGTTAAGAAGACGGAAGTTCTTATGGAGAATTTCCGCCGTGCAATTGGGCTTCGTATTAAAGAGAACAAAGAGGTTTACGAGGGCGAGGTAAGGCAACAAGTTTTCCGGCTCTATAGGATATTACGATTCATATTTAATGGTAGATTTTTGTAGCAATAGCCATGAAATCAATAAAAGATTCTTGCGACAAATCTCAAACAATTGACGAAATTAGATTGACTTAATATCATGAGGTAATCGACTAAGATAGTCTAATGCTGATATTTTTCGAATAAGATAAAGTGATGTCGAATGTCAAAATCGAATGTGAGTTGGGTTCAAATGCTTACTATGTGTTGACAGCCTCTTCAAGGTCATGGTCCGTCTCTTTTTAAGCAATTTGATTGCAATCTCCTGGATACAATTTATTCATTTTTTGTGTGTAATTTATGTCTGAAACCTATGCAGGTGACAGAGCTCTCCCCTGAAGAAACAGAAAGCACTACAGGAGGGTATGGTAAGAGCATTAGCCACGTTGTAATAGGGCTGAAGACTGTGAAAGGAACCAAGCAGTTGAAACTGGACCCAACTATTTACGACGCTCTCATGAAAGAGAAGGTAAGCGTTGTTCTGTTCACAGTCAGAACTGAATGAGTAGGAAACTTATCGAGAAATATTGACATGCTTTCAAGAACGGTTTTTCTTCACGTTTCAATCCCAAACATTCTAATGTAACGCATGGTTGTGAAGGTGCTGGTTGGTGATGTGATTTACATTGAAGCCAACAGCGGAGCAGTGAAGAGGGTTGGGAGAAGTGATGCCTTTGCCACAGAGTTTGACTTGGAAGCAGAGGAGTATGTGCCTTTACCAAAAGGAGAAGTTCACAAAAAGAAAGAGATTGTTCAGGTTAGTGCTATGATTATTATGCTCGTTGCAGTGTAGCCCTCTTGATTCTTTATACAGTATCCTTTGTATATTTTATGCTTGTAATCTTATGCCCATTTCTATGTGTTATGGTACATAGGATGTCACGCTCCATGATCTAGATGCTGCAAATGCTCGCCCTCAAGGAGGCCAAGATATATTGTCCATGATGGGCCAGATGATGAAACCTCGTAAGACTGAAATTACTGATAAATTACGACAAGAGATTAACAAGGTAATTTTTCTTGACGCTGTGCTGTGAGTATGGACAAGAAACCTCGTACAAAGTCGTGTTGTAACATTATATTATTAATCAAGAGGTAATGCTGAGTCAGAAGGGCAACGAGTTTGAGATGGTTTCTCGTTCATTTGTGGTGCAGGTTGTTAACAGATATATTGATCAAGGTGTGGCAGAGCTTGTTCCAGGTGTTCTTTTCGTGGATGAGGTAAACCAATTCTTTCAGTCTAGTTAGCTGGGCTTGCATGACGTGTTTCCTTAATTCGTAAACTTTATTGATGGGAAACCATGCCATTCAATTTAATGCTGAATATTGGATGAGTAGACCAAATTAATTGACTTAGCCTCAAACCGTGGAGACAGTGTCCTGAATTCTCTTATTTGTTGTTTAACTTCTTTGTGTGAGTTGTTTGAAGTGAACATTGCATTGAGAGAGATAAACCACCGATTTAAATGATGCTTGATTTTGATTTATTTCAAGAAGTGCCTGCTTCGTTGGCCATTTGTATGTTCTCCTCAAACTAACGGCTGGAAAAATACTGACGTGGATTTATGGCGTACTGCAGGTGCATATGCTAGACATGGAATGTTTCACGTATTTGAATCGTGCTCTCGAAAGTTCATTGGCACCCATTGTCGTATTTGCCACTAATCGAGGCATTTGCCACATAAAGTATGTCCTAATGTTGTAGACTTCTGTTCTTTCTAACTTCACCATGTCTCAACTTAGTAGTGCTCATTGGTGAGAAAGATTTTTCACGCTTGATGTATAGGTTGGGATTGTTTCTTTACCTTCTTTTCATGGGTGACCTCCTTTGTAAACAATAGTATTGAACGATGCACGCAAGTTGATAATCTGCTGTCATGCTCTACTAAAGGATTTTTCGTCTTAAAATATGCAGGGGAACTGATATTAGCAGTCCACATGGTATTCCTGTTGACTTGTTAGATCGCCTAGTTATTATCAGAACACTACCTTATACCCCAGCAGAAATGATTCAGGTATGCTGTTATGTATTTCATTTATTCTAATCAAGCACATGCATGAGCTATTACTTCTTCGCAGCATATGTTTTGTTCCTTCGCCACTGCTTATCTATGATCGATTAGTATGCATTGATTTCTGACACGAGTTGATCTTTTATCAATTCATGTGTAGCGTAGTTCAGCAGAACTTTGTTTGGTTATTGCCTTTCACAACATGTAATTCCCAATCACCTCCTTAACAAAGTTTGAGGTTACTAACGTCCGTCGATTTTGCATTGCAGATTTTAGCTATTCGAGCTACTGTGGAAAGCTTGTCTGTGGATGAAGAGTCTCTTGCTTATCTGGGAGAAATAGGAGAGCGTACATCACTTAGGTGAATCTCCATTCTTACCTCTATTTCAGATAGTTTTTAATTTGGAAAGATATTTGTGATTGAGGCCGTATTAGATTGGTCAATTCAAGTCGAAGGCGAATGGTGCTGTCTCTTGAGAATCATAGGTAGGGGTATGGCTCAAGTAGTGTAGCTAACTTACAATGTTTTGTTTGACTTTTCAGGCACGCTGTTCAGCTGTTAACACCAGCAAGTATTGTGGCGAAAACTAATGGCCGCGAGCAGATTAGCAAGGTTTGCTTCTATTCCTGCCGCAGAGTAAAAATGAATTTGTTATATTGCTTGGTGTTTTACCATTGGCTCGCTGCTAAGAATCCCCGATTTCTGATAGAGAGCTGGCATCACACAGTCTCTGATAGAGAGTTCCGTTATTTTATTCTGAACCAAACTTCTTTCTTGCAGGGAGATTTGGAGGATATTGCAACGCTTTTCCTGGACGCCAAAGCCTCTGCTCGACTTTTGCAAGAGCAGCCTGATAAATACGTTTCACAATAGGTTGAAAGCATAGTCCTGCTAATCAATACAGTAAAGAGCGTAATTGTATGATTTTTATTTCATATTAAACGTTCTGAGCAGTACCTGATTTTCAACTCTCTTCATCAAGCAGACGGGTATTCAAGGTCCATATATTTTCATCACGGAGATGTTCTACCTAGATTTGAGAGGAAGTAAATGAACTGGGTTCTACAATTTTGTTCGCTATTATGTTTCCATGTGAATTAATTTCATCTCATAACCGACTCTAGACGTTGGATGCATATGGATGGTTTGAATGCTTATCTGTAAGTGCTCACTGGGTTTTAGACAAAAATTGCTGCTTTTACTATTTCAACACTACCATAGAACATGTTCACAGGGTTTAAGTGTGTTGCTCTCTGATTAGTTCGTGGAAGGGTGTCTTCTGTGATTGAAACCTGACTCCCTTTATGACTGAGGCCGCCCAGAGGATGCTTACAGATCGTCCATTAGGACTAGGTTGGCCAGTTTCACCCTCATGGCGATTCTACTTGTTGCACTGCAGAAGCTTTTAGCTGCCAAAAGGTAGCAGAACCTAGTCACGTCTGCTTCAACCTGGTCTGAATTTAGGGAGTGCCATGGGTTGATAATCATACGTGGTTTTTGTTGGCAATAATCGAAGCTTTGAAAATGAAAAAAATAAGTATATTAACTCAATTTGCATGATTAAAGAGTATATGATTCATTCATGTGTGCATTCAAGAGCTTTCCATAGACTTCAATATCATGCGGGAATATGGAATAGGATAGTAAATGGAGGTTTACTGTTCAGTGCTTTGATAAATTATCACTTAAAGCTAAACTAGAAACACATAATCAAAAGAATAATTTCCAAAGCCTGAAACCGAAAACTTGCCATCAATGCAAACATCTAATTCTTGAGAGTGAACAAACGTTATCAACATTCAATTTAGTTAATAATGTAAAACCCACTTCAATTATAATTAAAAGCCAAAGCAAAACCACGCAACTTTAAAGTTCGAAAATAAAGAATAAAGTAACAGCAATTGAGTTCATTGTGGCGGGAAAAACGTGGAGCTGGGGTACAAAGCGGGAAGCAGATGGCGGGAAAGTGCCTAGGCGCATGAGTTCAATGAGCTGGACTGAGACGTGGATTGCTCACTCGCGGTAGCACGTTAGAAATTGCACGTGACTCATGTGGAGTCTCGGAAAGGGACAGGAAGGCGCAGCGAAGGTTCGCTCTCTTTCTTCTGTTTGAGAAGCAATCTTCACTGGTCCACAATCTTTCGTAGCCAGGGCAGGGATATCCACAGTGGCGTGCCTGGAGAAGAATGGATCACGCACGATTGCATACTACCAGGGAAATGGGTACGAGCATTACACTGATCCTCCAATTATCCGCGTGAGAGAGCTCATGCATCGTCCTGTTTGAACGACACACAAACACAGACCTCTTCTTCTGCTGGTTGCGAAGGATTCAATTCAAGTGCGCATTGTTTGTGGGGTGGTGCGTGATTTGTGTCTGGGCAATGCCAGGTAATGTTCAGCGTCGCTTCCAGGACAGTTTTTACGTGCGGAGTTGGCCAGGTTGTGGGTGGGTAGCGTGGAGCTGCGGACTGGCATCTGCATATAATTCTCGAAGTTTGTGCATTAAAGACAAAAGGAAACAACAAGAAGAAACATGAACTGGCTGGTTACTTTTGTGGTCGGCGAGATGGCCCTGGTTAGTAAGGACCAAGCCCCCATTCCCCGGGCCTTCCACATCATGATGATGAAATCTGAGACCGATTAACGCGCAGAAACCGAGATTCAGAGACTGTGATTGTCAGGAGGGATGCAGAAGTGGTGAGAGCCGGCTGTGTTGACAGGCAGGTCGTTTGCTGTAACTCGGTACAGACGGACAGGCAGAGGGACAGGGAAACGGAAAACGATGAAGGTTTGTAGAAACTCGTGGGTTAGTCAAAGGTGTGGCACATATGGGAAATTTTTGTCATCATCAACCATACGAAATAGGTACGCGAGTTCAGACGCTGGGGCTTATGGTTGGACGATGAAAACGAGTTCTTTCTCGGCAATAACTGTCTCAGTGTGTAGTCGGTTCCAAGGCGGCTTGTCCTCCGTTCAAGAAAACGTGGTTAGGAGTACAGGCAACAGCCGTCATCGTCGATTTTTTCTTGAGAATTAGATACTAGTAGAGAAGCTTCTAACCAGGTACTTATCTGTCTGCCAATCTTTGTCGCGTATCTGGATGATATAGGTCCGGATCATCAGTTGGAGGTGAAAAGAAAACTGGTAAGATGTTTATGCAGCTGGCAAACGCACAAAAAAAAACGCGTCAGACAGCCGCAACGAGACGGATTCTCTCCTAAAAGCTCGTAAGCAACCACAGGAACATTTACAGTTTCTTTTACTGAGATGAACAGGAATTGCAGATGGTCCTTGTCCAGTTCCCTTCCGACCCTGCCATGGCTCGTGATGCCTTGGATATTAAAACATCACCTCATAAAGCTTTGGAACCGTTTCCCTGACTTTTCTTGGAACTTCTTACTGACGTCAAAGTATTTAGAGCTTCTGTGCTCTTATTAACCTTTACAAATCACAGTCAAGTATGCGGTGTGTAGACAAACTTCTAACTAGTGTAGCTTCGTGTGTGAAGATAGCACAGCAGACAGGGTTCAAAGAGTAGCTCCTCAAACTTTGCAGTCTTCATTCTCTTTCTTGCGTCAAAAATCTCGATGGTTTTTACGTAATTAAGCACGACCAAGTGGTAGAGCTCGTGCATGCACATCTACCTCTCGCAATCTCAAATATGCAGTGGCAATAAATAACGCAATATCTTCCCAACAACGCCAAATCAGTAACCATGCCGACAAATGTTGACCTTCCTTCGATTACCGTCTTGCAAAATGTGAAAAGCTAAAGAAAGCTGCACCGACGCACAGAGCACATGCAATGAACAAGTACGTGGGTCTTTTTAAGGCTCACAGACGAATAGCTTGTTCCACAAGTTACTTACAGTGATGAACGTCAGTCGAGTCCATCTTAGCTCGAATAAATGAGCTCGTCATAAATCGATACTACCATCGATCATATCTGAGCTCGCATCTTGCAGCTATAGTCCACGTATTTCATTTCTAAATGTAAGGCTGGTGGTTTAGAAAAAAATTATTGTCTACATCGGTACTCTCTCATTGGGAAGATCGTAATCAAAACAAAAAGTGGGGAACGCTCGCAGAGAAAGTGTGCTCTACAGATTAGACAGCGAGAGTTGCAGATCTTAACACATCAAAGTTGGGTCGATGGAAATGGGTGCCATTTCAAAAAAAATCTCCTCCTGACGCTTTAACATAGCAGGGGTTAAGGCCAGTCCCACCATGGTAAGCCCTTTTCCTCGATTAAATCCAATTGTGCCAGTATGTAATTACAAGAATTATTTTGACATGAATCATGCTCAGACTTCACCGAAATACGTTGGCACGCCTTGGGAGAAAGCATTTGTTCGTAGAGGCCATCAGTCATGTGAACGATGCTGGATCCCACGAGCTCTGTAGAAACAAGCGAGCACATGTTGGTATCATCCGGCACTGGGAGAAGTGAGCCGCTGTTCATAGTGCATGGGCTGTCTGAGTTAAATAATTCACTGGAGAAGCTGTCGGAGAATGTTTCCTTCGAACCCTCCTCCTTGCATGGAGACAGGCCATCGTTGTTGGCTTCAATCTCGGGTATTCTTTCCGACTTTACGGAACCTTCGCAAGCCCATTGAGGAGAAGGATGAGACATTGAAATATGTTTTTTGCTTTTCTCCAAAGATGGATCCGCGGGACCCGGTTGCACGGTCTGCAACTTTTCCGTTAAACGCTCCACCTGACACGAAAACCAAGTAAGCAAACAAACAGTTCTAATTGTTTAAACATCGCATATTAATATATATAGATATATATATATATATATATATAGAGAGAGAGAGAGAGAGAGAGAGAGAGAGAGAGAGAGAGAGAAAGAGATATAAATGTCAGTGCGACCAAGAATTCTCAGAATACATAAAATGATACATTTGCTGCTAGAATCAGCTAAAAATCGCCATGTCGTAACAGAATTTTTAAAAAGAACTGAAGACGGAAATCGACTGGTCAATAGCACTCTTTTAAAAGGGAGTAATTTTAAATTCGAAAAAATACTAAACTATGAAGATTAGGAGATATTTCCACTTCTCAGTGGTTCAAGGTGGATAGACAAGTTTAGATTGAAGATTCACCTCGCCCTGCAGATCTTGCTTTTCTTGAAGCATAGCCTCGAATTCGCTTTTAAGCTGTTTGTAACCAGAGGTGAGAGACTCGTAATCCCGCTCTAACTGCTTTGTTCTCCAACGTGCACGACGATTTTGGAACCATACTGCCACTTGCCTAGGCCGAAGTCCAAGTTCTTTGGCAAGCAGTAATTTTCTCTCAGGCTCCAGTTTGTTCTCAATGTCGAAGTTTTTCTCTAGGAACCTGACTTGATCAAAGGTTAGCCTTCTCTTCTTGGATGGCTGACTGCAGTCGTCACCGTGATCTTCTTCTCCTAGATCTTCACCCGACGCGTCAAACGTAGGATAGTGGGAGCGATTTTTCCCACAACTAACAGAAGTATCCTCCAAGCCTACAGCTCCATGCTTTACTGCACAATGCATTACCAGAAAAAGAGTTAGATGAGAGACACACGACATTTCAAGCCTGCATGATCTGCAATAGCCACATCATCTGGCACAATTTTTTTGGATAATCATAAGCACTCGATCTCGACGAAAGAACAAATTTTGAGTATAATGAAGCAAACACTTGCTCTGACGCCAGTGACATTTCCAGCTAATTAACGCTCTTAATGAACTGGCAAATCCATGCTGTATGATGAATGTTAGAATCTGTTTCACGGAGCGTGACAAGCTAGTACTGTATTTAGATTTCTCAAAGCCCATCTTCGCAAGTTTCTTCGAAAATGACACTTGCGACGAGAACAAAATGGTATAAATCAACACAGGATTATGCGCTCATCAACGAACCTTGAAATGCGGCAGGAGAGCATGAGGCCACCATTGCAATTCCGCTGTCGCTCGCGGTATCGTTTCGCACAAACATGACATTGGAACCAAGGACACAACCTCTGCCAGTATTGGTCATCTCAAACCAAGCAGTGCCACTCTGGAGATACACCAGCCAAGCTCACGCACGGATTTCAGTTGTCTAACAGTGATCAACACGTCCAGTTATCCCAAAAAATACCGTCTCAGCTCCCCCCATTAAACTTGCCTTAGCTACACCACTCCACCTCCACACTCCAATCCTCAGATCTCATCTCCGTTTTCTATCCACCTCTCAACCGAAAACCTCTACCAACACACTCGTCACCCTCCCGATCCTCCTCTCTCGGTTTCTCCCTCTACAATGTCCCCTTGAACAATCTTTGAAACTCTCCACCGCTCTCTCCTCCCCTTCCTTCCATGAAAAGACACACAGAAACTCGAAGTGGAAAATCTAATCGCCTCAAACATGGCGAGCACAAAGCGAAAGTACACGACGTTCGTCCCTGAAATCAACTGCCTTAATTGCAGTGCTGAACTCAAATATGCCATCCAGACAAGACAATCGTCTCTCTTTATGTTATCAAAGCTTCACTATAGCACTGTCTCAAGAAAAAGACAATCGCCACCATCACTTGATTTCGTGTCCTTCAAGGTGGACCGCGCTCTCCTCCTTGCAATGCTCATTCCATCCCTCACTACCCCCCTCACCCGACTGCAGCTTCTCTCTTCCGTCATAATCCCCCACTCAGCCAAAAAAAAGAAAAAGAAAAAGGGAAAAAAACACACACAAACATACACGTACAAACAAATTTCATCATTGATGCCCCTCTTTGTCACCTTACCCGCGATTAAACGCAGCTGTGAGTGCGATACCCATTCTGACATCCATAGTCTCCCTCTAATCCACTCCACAATCCTTCGTATTACCACCGACACTAGCTAACAGAGCGCTTTGACCAAATCCCGTGCGCCATTACTGCACCCTCCGCCTGCCCCCTCGTACCTCACGCCGCTGGGCACTTTGTAGCTGGGGGGGGGGGGGGGGGGGGACCACCAATGCAATGCTGCCATTCACCCCCGCGTGGTGCCGCACGGCCGTTGTCGTGAGCGACATCGCAAACTTCGAGCCGACGATTCGCTTCGAATAGTTTCCATATCTGCATTAAGGCCTCCGATCGTCGCCGGCCATGCACTCGCAACTCAGGGCCGAATCCCGCCAGTCCCTTGCAGATTGATACCCGGCCTATTCAAGTCATATTTCACTTACGCCCATGCGCTCCTTCGAAGTCTATACATTCTATGCGTTTTTTGTAGATAGGATTGGTTGGTAGTTTTCTGAGTTTCCGTGAAGTTCATCCGTCTTGTCATTATATTAGGAAAAAGCAACAAGTACAACAAAGAATTTCACTTAGTACTTTTTTTCTGTCATATTTTATAGGGAGTTGTTAAAGGGACACCCCCACATTGTTAAAGCCACACCTCACGAGGGTACACTACTGCTCCCCCTTCAACTCTTGCTCTTTCCTCAACTCTTTGTCTTTGAGTATTCTCCCTTGCCACTCTCCTCTATTGTTGCTCTCTATTTGTATCTACTCCAGCTCTTTCATATCGTTTTCTACTTGTGTCTAGTCTAGTTCTCCGCTGCAAGTCTTTACTTGTGTCTAATTGTACTTTCTTCTGTTGCTCTCTACTTATACATATATATTATTATCTCACTTCTAATGCTTCCTTTATCCAAATGTGAGTTGCTTCACTTGTCAATCTTCTCCAAAGTATCCCAAAAGGAATTGTAAAGTACAATTTCAAATGAAATCATAATGCAAGCAAGCACAACAACTTTTGGAATGTAACTTTAACAATGTGGGGATGTAGCTTTAGCAATTCTCTATTTTATATGATTTAAATATATTTCACTAATTTTTTATTTTTAAGTGTACAAATATAAAATTTGCTTATGATAGTAAACAACATGTTCCAACTTGCCTTAGCTATGCACTTTGATGGAACATCCTTTATAATAATTATGATCTAAAAGATGTTATCGTTAGATGGATTTTCAATAGTTTTTGCTATGTATATATATATATATATATATATGGTATTATTTTGTATAATATTATAAACAAATGATCATATAATAAAAAATTCCATGATCTCTTTTAATGGAATTATCAAAATTGGTAGACTAAGAAATTAAATGCATATTTGACAATAAATTATATCAATTATAAATATTAAAAAGAGATTAAAATCATATTTATCAATTTTTGTGAATGTAAAAATTACTTTTAAATATTCCTTTACATGTAATATTTAAAAATATATAAATAAACAACATTATATTTACGAGATTAATAAGCTTGTGATCTAATTTAATTCTATGCACACATTTATTATATAAAGACATAAAATCAAAAAATAAAGGCAAGATATAAAGCCAAAAGTAAAACTTTAAATTTTAAATTGAAATTAGTTATTTATTTATAATGTTTTTATGTGTATAAATCAAAGGTTTTTTTCTATTCAAAAGTTAGAATCTTTATGTTTAAAGATAACTTTTGAGTTGATTATTTATTTATTTAATTAATTCCACAAAATTTGATAAAAAAATTTCAAATATCAAAATGTGAATTTCTGATTTTTAAGAAATTTAGATATTGTTTGTTATCTAAAAGCTGGTTTCAACAATCTCATCCAATTCTTTTCATCCAATATAAGCAGAAAAACAAATATCACACACAATTTGGTTCATTAAGCTTGTTCTAGAATCATCGTTCTTATCTATCCGTGCATCCGTATTTCATTCATCCATTATCCACCAAATAATATTGCCAGGAATAGTGTCAGTTTTTCAACAAGGGCCAACAACCAATCAGTTTGCGACAGGCCACACTCTCCCTGTGCAAAAAGTAAAAGTATTGCAGAGCCTCGAATTGAAATAGCCTCGAGGAAATTTGCAAAGCTGATTTTGGTACATTCCAATTAAGTGGATGATTATCATCCATAAATGTGTCTTTATTTCATTGGACACGTGGCAGCTCCCCAGGTGCAAGTAATATACCTTGCAGAGGCTTATTAAAACAATTCATGAGCTTTTCCAACAATAATTTTTCGAGTTCAGGTTCTGGATTTTTATTGTGGACTGATTCATTGACTAACTGGTTCTTCTACCATGCCAATTATTTAAATATTATTCTGGATGAATGTAACTGTTGGATATGCCGGTTTGAGAAACCTCATTTCATCCACTATAAGCTTTAAGAGCGTGGTAGTGGTGGGTCAATTAAGAAGGTTGTAGTAAACCTTGACATTTTGAGTTTTGTTGCAAGACCTTATTTTTACTGTTATAGATAATGAGTTCTAGCAATAACGTATTAATTTTTAGTTAAATATATATAGTGAAATACTTTAAAGACATCTGATGCTATTAATGATATATATATATTGAAATCATGTTTTTGAAATCCAATTTTTATTTTATTTTATTTTCGGATTGTGTATAAACAATAAAATATATATATATATTTTGACAACATTTTATATAAGAGGTCTTATATTTAGAAAAAACAATGAGGAGGTTATGATAGAAAAAGATGAGATACAATATTTTCTTTTTCTTCTTCTAGATAGCATAAATAATATTGTTTCTTAAAATTTGAAGAAAATTTATGTCAAAAAAACTGTCTTTATAAAAACTTAAAAACTGGTAAAAAGATTAATAATTAATAACTAAATCATTTTTATTTTTTATATTTGTAATTAAAATAAAAAGTAATAATTAGGGTGCCATACTTAGTTTTATAATTAAAAATAATTTGGCATATTTTTATGACTTCTATACACTTTATTTGATATGCAAAGCTTCTAAGCTTTGTATTATGGCTTTCAAAGCAAGCTTTTAGGCATAAAGACCTCCTAAGATAGACTTAATACTTTAATGTTATATGGTAATTTGTATTTTAATGAAACAACTATAAAAATAAAATAAAATAATATATTAACATAAACCTAAAAAAACACAAATCTAATTAATTAACATATGATCTATTTGAAATCTGAAAGATATTTTCATTATTGTTGGTATATATATATATATATATATATACGGAGTTGTTGAAGCCACATCCCAATGTTATTAAAGCCACACCTCCTGAACCATGCAATGATTATTTTTGGAGGATTGGAAACAAGAGATAAGGATAGGGAACAAATGATGGGAATAGGGGATGGGAGATATGGAACAAAGGACAGGGATGAAGATGGACGAAATTGATCATATGATGGTAATATGAGATGTGGCTTAAACAACTCTCTCTCTCTTTCTCTCTCTCTCTCTCTCTCTCTATATATATATATATATATGTATAGTTTTAATACTAATTTTTTTAAAAATATATATAATATGCATTTAAATAATAATAATAATATATTTGTATATACATATTTATTTATAAATATTAAGAATTTTTTCAAATTAAAGAATTAAATTATATTATTTTTTTAAAAATAAAGCAAACGAAATTATTTTATAATAATTTTAAATCTAAAATAAGTTAAAATAGTTACATTTTAGTATTGATAATCTAATTTATTTTTTTTGATAAATATTAAGTGATCTACATTATTTTAACTAAATATATATCTAATGTATGAATGTGTATATTTTTATATATGAATATAGATATGCCAACAACAAAACATAGCTATCAAGTTATCATCCACTTACCACACAAATTCACAACCAATCAAATGACTAGTATTAACCCAATTCTTTTCATCCACAACTTTGAAATATGATATTCAATACAAAATTTTATCTTAAATTATTGAAGAATAGCAGATTGCACAAAAAAAACACAAAAAAATATTAACAAGATCAATAGTTCAAACCTTGGTTATGAAATCTCAACCATGGATGATAGACCTAAACACAAGAATTTCTCCAATTGTTTCAAAATAATACCAAATAAAAAATTCTAAAATTAATACATTCAAACATGAACTTTTTTCAAGCTCATTTCAAATTGCTATATGCAAACATATTATGTTTACAGACACACTCAAGACCTCCCATTGGTTGCTCTAGACATCATCTTCCTTGTCCAAGCATGAGTCCAAATCCCCTCCTCTCCATCTTCTTTGTCCCAATGGCAGGACTAAAAAATGTGGAAGAATCCCAAGACCTATGCTAGGACAAGGAAGAGAGTAAAGAAGTTGGGGACCCATGCCAACACAAGGAAGAGAGGGAGGAGGTCCATGACCTGGGTTGGGACAAGTAAGAAGGGTCTAAAACATGCAATTAGAAGCCTTGGATGTGTGGACATAATGGTTGTGTGTATAACAATTTGGGATGTGATTATAGTGTGAACCCTTCTTCTATTCACTTGAATACTTCATATTCAATTTTCATACTACACAAAAGGACGCACTCAGTGTCAGCCGTACATGTCAGCGGTGAATGAGTGCGTGGCGCCAGAGAGTAAGCCTGTTTTTGAGTTTAGATTCTGCGTGCTTGTGTTGAGCTTGTGTTGAGCGGGCGGCTATGGCATCGATGCTCCGAGACTGGTTGCAATTCAACAGGCCAAGCCAACACTTCATCCTCACAATGGCTTCTTCTTCTTCCAGCCTCGGTCGCACTGAGGAGGTTCAGTTCACCGGAGTACAACACGCCAGTGTGCTGCTGGAATTTGGAGCTCTTTTGATGAGCGGCGCTGTGGATTAAGCAAGCGCATCGACGAAGCCACGTTGCGAGGCTGCCCCCTTAGTCTTGTTGATGATGTGTTGGATACGTTTCTGAGAGCGAGATTAGTGTCGATCTTTCCTGCAGAGTTGTTGGAGCTTGCAGATCGTGAGATTCCATGTAGCCACGAGATCGACTGATTTGTTCCAATACCTCTCTCGCCAGCGCTGGACACATGCTATCTTTTAAACCAGTCTGTCAACTTCGCTCGACCCGTCTGCCAGCGCCTGGATCTTGTTTTGTTTGAACGATCAGATTCGGTTTTAACCCGGGTTTGTGTTGTGTCACAACAACTGGTTTAAGAAGCTTACAGACCGCAACACAAAAACTACATATCTATGTTAAATGATCTATTTACTCATTATTTTCTATAATGGTAATTATTATTTCAAAGCGTCTCTTTTTTATTTCTTATTTATTATATTCAGAATTAACTTTCTATTACAAGATTTTTTTTTTTTTTTTTTTTTTTTTGCCCCTATGTGTTTCCAATTCTGTTTAATACTTTTCATCCCTCTCTCCATTGAAGTAAATTAGCACAAATCACAAGAGTTCATTCAAGATCTTCATCCCGAGTTGGTTATTCTCACGACACCGATTACTTATCGGTGACTATATTCTTCGTATCCCAATTGAAAAACAAGTGTGTGTTCTTGCATGTGTGTGACTCTGTGTGTGTATATATATATATATATATATATATGTATATTTTCCCCGCGTGATAAGTAATAATCTCTTTTAATAGACATTTGCCAAGCGATGAGACTAGTAATTCTACTCAATGCAGTGAGTACTATTTATATTTATGAGCTTTATTCTATCATTGAATATCCATCATTTTGATGCTTGTCAGATACAAAGCTATCTCCCATGACCTCCAGATTCATTTTCAAGCTTTGGAGCACACAATGCCTGGGGCTCCTTTGGCAGGTCAGCAATAAGTTCAGTTGTGCAGCCTTATGTGATAGTCTCAATAGCCCACTCGTCATTACAGATCCTTTTTTCAAAGGTCTTTCTAAACTGTATGCACACATACACAGAACACTGAAAAGAATTGCAAAAAAATGGCCTCTACACTAGATATGGATGAATTTGATTCAAAATTTAAAAAATATGTATTTCATGCAAGGATTTGTTGTTTTTAGTTATGATTTTTTTTATAAATTCTAAAAATAAAAGAAATAATAAGTATTTTTTATTTATCTTTGGAAATCATAATATAGACTGAATCTTTTAGATAGATGTATTGAGTCTTAGAAGTTGAATAATAAATAAGATTATGATCTTAGCTTTGTAAATAGTTGTAACTTTGTACAAGCTAACTGCTTTCTGTGAAGTAGCTTAAAGTGGTAATATGGTTGTAGACACTAGGATTACGTTAGTTGACATGATGTATAGCTAAGACTCATACACAAAGTAAAAATAGAGAAAAAGAGAAACAGAATAGAAGAAAGAAAAAAATAAAGTTATAAACCACTGTAAGCATTATTTTTGCACAAAGTTTCTTGCATTCTTTAGCATATCCATGAAGAAACAAAAAAAAGTAAAAAGTAAAAAGTAAAAATGTACATAACTTTTGCTACTGCCAACACAACCTTCAATCCACCTTATGCCATATTTATTAAATATTTTTCAAATCATTTGATTGAACAATTTAATGGATTGGAATAAAAGAAACTAAAGATACATATCCAATAGGTGTTGAGATGTGATATTAATAGGAAATTTTGTGATGGTGTTAGCAATATCCAAGATTTATGTACACATAGATATTGTAATATAGTTAACAATATAATAAATTAATAACTATATACATAGTTGTATATATATATGTATATATGTATATATACACATGCATGAGTATTCATATATATGAACATACATACATACATACATACATGGTTTTTTGCAATTACATATAGACAAGATAGTGTAAATAATGTACATTGCATGCCAGATATATTGCTTCAGTGGAAAGGCTAAACACATCATTTTAATAAAGAATACAAATTAAATACACTTATTCCATATGATAATTTTAAAAAATATATTTAATTGAAATTACGAGAGTTTCTAGATTAATTTAATTCATTGTTTTAAACTGCATTTATGTAAAACCATATAAGAATCAAGTTATGAAGTATTTTACAAGGATCTCTTTAATTATGCAGAGTATGTGATACTAAATATTTAAAAAGGTCGCAGAGGGATTTCATGGTAATTGTTTTTGGATGTCACAGTCTCTTGTTTCCTTTTTTCTATTCCATAAATAATAATAATAATAATAATAACTTCTTCATATCATTTTAGAATTTATTTTTTTCCTTTTAAATTGTTGAACTTTATTCCAATGCAAATCCTGTCAACAGAGAAGCATTCCCGGAAAGCCTCAGTTTTTTAAGAAGAAATAAATAAAACACAAAAAAAATTGTGTGTATATATATACATATTTTCTTATTTTAAGATATTGAAATACAGATACTGTCCTAAACAAAAGACGTAAACTTTATCACATAAAAACACGAGCAGACTATCTCATGTTTGTCGAGATATATTGAATAAGACCAATGAAGATCCACAAGGAACTACCATAAATGCAAGTAATGAAACCAAAATCACTAACCAAGACCCCACAAACACTATTCACAAGAAAAGTTCAATTTGGAGTCCACCATGTGGTATATAGTCCACTTTATATTTAGAAAAATGAACATACCCCCGCCCTATGCGGATAGATATTAAAGGGGGCGATTCACCATCCATCCACACATTGATGGATGAATGAAAGGCGGAGGTAGGGCCGCGTTGTCGTCATCCAAGGACTAGAGGAGACCCCGTCGCCGCGGAGAGAGGAGAAGGGGACCTAATCCCGGGGTTTGCGCTTCCTCGGCTCCGATGCCCCGCTCCACTCTCCTCGCCGTGTGAAGCTTTCCGTCTCGCCATAGCTCCTGCGCTTCACACTCTGTGTTGTTGAGCTTCGCCTCGTCTCATCTCATCTAACACTCCCCTTTGTTTCTCCGGAGGCGTTGTTGCAAGCGTGGTGCTCTGCCGCGTCTTGTTTTATTCTCCGAGTGAGCGTGCGTGCCTTTTTTTTTTTTAATCCTCCCTGCGCGTTTCATCTGCGAGCTTACTTGTTGCTTTCGACTGCGTGAGCCATCAGCTATCGACAACGTATTTTGGAATTAGGGCGTAGTGTGGCGGGTCAGGTTTTTGCGGCTGGGAGGATTTCGACGCCAGAGTATTGCAGGCGAGTGCTATTGGCGGACGGTATCTGGAGTTTGGTGCGCGGGCGTCGGTGGTCGAGGTTCGTTACGGTGGTTGGATTATTTCGGGAAGGTTACTTGTATTGGTGTTTTTGACGGTGTTCGTTGGTTACGGAGAGTATTGAAGAGTGCGGAAGGGAACTGGTGCGACGGCAACGAAGAATAGGGTTTTGTTTTGTTTTGTTTGTTTGTTTGTTTGTTTGTTTGTTTGTTTGTTTTTTTTTTTTTTTTTTGAGGAGTTGTGTCTCGGCGTATTGGAGGGTTTGTGAAGGTTTTGAGGCGGTCCTGTCACAGGAGCCATGACGAGTGCGTTGGATATGTCATTGGACGACCTTATTAAGACGAACAAGACCGCTACTCGCGGTGGGAGGGGCGGTGGCGGTGGCGGTGGCGGTGGTGGTGGTCGAGGTGCAGCTCCTGCGTCTCGACGAGGGGGAGCGACCGCTGCTGCAGATGGGGGTTACCCTGGGAGTAAAACGTCAGGGCCAACCCGCAGACAAGTGAGCCGGCCCGCCGTCCGGCCAACGCCTTACGCGAGCGCAAAGGCAAGCAAAGCGGCAATCCCATATTTACTTCTCTTTAGTGGAAATGGCAGACATCGAGAGAGTCAGTAGGGATAAGGGGAAAAAAGAGGACAAAAGATTTATCAGGTACAAAACACTGTTGAGTGAGGAAGCGTTTTAGTTTGATATAATCAACAGACCGGGGTTTCATAAGGAAGACATATGCCGTTTCAAGGGAGCAGGGTTTGGTATTTTGGATGTCAAAATGAAGGGTGGAGATCGTACGGACGTGCAGTGCCTGTTCATCTTCGGCTGCAATGCTGGGGGGGGGGCCTCCTCTGATGAATTTCGTTCAATCAACGCTTTGACACATTCATGCTGAGCTTCTCTACTGTGACGCACTTGTTCGGGGAGGAGGATGTGGCTCGCCTCTTCTGCAGCGCTCTTAGTTCACTTATTTAGCTCTGTAAACTGCACATTGGTGGGGATTAGCATGTGTTTTTCGAGAGAGCGTTTTTGTGAGAGTAGTTTTGCTGATGGACTTCCTGGGTGGTGCGAACTGCCAATTATGTGTTCTCTATGTGAACAGCCAGTCCGCCGCGACCCGGATTCTACTTGGCAACATGACATGTATGAAAACTTTCTCCCTGCCGCACCTTCAAGTGGCAGAGGAGTGACTGGAGGCATTGAGACAGGGACCAAATTGTACATATCCAACCTTGATTACGGAGTTTCGAACGATGATATCAAGGTAACCCCACATCTCGCTATTTTATCTTAGTTCATTTTATCGTATCCTACTTGGCATTAGTCCTCGTTACTAATTTCTTATTGTTTCATTTTGTATATTTCTTATTGAAACTTCCGATTCTTTACGTGTGGCTCTGCGTTGTGGGTTTTTGCACGCCAAACGTAACGTTACTTGGTTCCTTTTCCTGACCAGGAGCTTTTTGGGGAAGTTGGTGATTTAAAAAGATGCTCTATTAATTATGATCGAAGTGGTCGTTCGAAGGTGAGACAGATTTTCTATAATGCGATCGAATTGTTTTCATGTCTGCATGCACTTCCTATGTGTAAATACCCTGTAGATGCTCCTCTGAGCAGGTCGCTCGTGTCCTGGCTCTTTTAACTACAACAGCCCTATCTTTTTGTCCAGATTGCTATCTCATTGATTTACTGCGCTGTATTATCAGGGAACTGCGGAGGTGGTGTTCACTAGGAAACCCGATGCTGTCAGTGCGATGAAGAGATATAACAATGTTCAACTCGATGGAAAACCTATGAAGATTGAGATGATTGGCACAAATCTTATAGCCGCTCCCGTCCCAGCTGCGCGATCTTCTGGAGCCATGGCAATGGTTGCTAGTCGAGGACGTCCTGTTTCTTCGTCATCGTAAGTTTGTGTTTCGTTCACTTTCAAGCGGTTTGCTTGTTTGTCTACCTAGGGATTCAGACAAAATTCGTTTGTTCTTATCATATAGAGCGGTCGTTAAATAAGGATTTTATGTGCTGCATAACTTTCTAGCCACTTATGAAGCATGGTGTTTTTGTAGTATGCCTTTTACTCGAGGACCTGGATCTGATCGAGGCAGAGGTGGTAGCAGCGCATTTCGGGGACGTGGCGGTGGCAGAAGTGCTGGCGGTGCAGGTGCTGGAGGCCGAGGGGCCGGAGGTAGAGGTGGGGGCAGAAGCGCCACTGCCGTAGAGAAGACTGTGGAAGATCTGGATGCCGACTTAGAATCTTATCATGCAGATGCAATGCAGACAAATTAAGGTTATGGAAACAGTGTCCAGACGACATGTTCTCTGGACCGACCGTTTGACTTGCCATAGGAGTATTGCACATGGCACTTTCTTCAGATTTTCATCCTCTGTCTCAGATCGTAGGGTGCGATTTTGAGCTTACTGGCAACATTATGATGACTCCAGCGTAGCTAGTCAAGTGAATTCCAGTGATGTTTCATCCTTGCCTCTAGTTTTGCTCAAGCTCCACCATGAAAAATGTTCCGTGTTATTAGCTCATGCAGAAAATACAGCTCCCTGGTATCTTAGGCTTCATCCGACACCTAGTTATGCAGAGATTGTGGCTTTAATGGGGTTTTAGCTTGATGGAGCCCTAACGTTTTGTTCGCCGATGATCATCTGAATATATGTGAAAAAGTTCCAGTTCCGCAGACAGTTCCAGCACAGCCAATGCTTACAAAAGTCGATACTTCACTTGTATGTAGGAGAAGTGTTCAGGAGTTAGATGTTCCATGATTTTAACATGACAACTGTTCCATATGTAATTTGACTGAGTCTGGAGATAAGTACAAGAGTATTCATGGAGATAATTGTCAAGGTTTATGCCAAGTGTAGTAACTAGGTACGAAAAAACGATCATCATCAACAACAACCAGCAGCAGAGCCGTAATGTAGTAGCGATGCTGGTATATCTTGTGCGCAGCAACAACCTGTAAACTAGAAGTTCAACACCTGTTTCCGCACAATTGTGTTATTTTTGTCTACCGATTGAAGTCAGAAACTGAATGAAACATGGATTAGTGATCTGGATTATGTGTGCCCAGCATTAAGAGATTTTCTTACTATTTGGAAACTAATGCAAGTTGTACTTCCGCTGTGCACCGAGGAACCTTGTAAAATTGTATTTTAAGAAAACCCTGTAAAAGTTCACTAACACTTCTCGTGGAATCAGATAATGAGTTGATAGCTTTCAAGCTATGATTGTATTCTGCAGACTGAGGCGGATTCAGATTCTTACTGTAGGAATGTCTGCCATGTTTTACAGTTGTGCAGTAGTTGTCTGAAGTTCCTTTTTTCTACCGTTCCTAAATAAATATTTTGCTTCTGTGAGAATAGGTCCCATCAGCATATGGTACCTTGCCAACAGCCTAACAAGCAATCAACCACACGACATTAACCACCCCACATCAGAAAAATAATAATAAAAACATGGATACAATACTAAATTCACTCTATCCTGAAAAACATTTCTGAATTTTGGGTGTCCAGAAACTATCACCTCAACTCAATCACATTACTATCGATTTCTCAAACTCCAACAGTCTGCCGAGGAAATACTGCAAGCTCGTGAACCATGAAAGCAAGAAGAGATCTTTATCTCCACTCCACTTTCAACTATTCAGACTCGAACATAATAAAGCAACTGTGACTACCTAATAGTTCCACAACCATGTTAAATTCTGGAGGATATCCACTATTCTTATCTATTGGTATGTACAATTGAGCATTCATTCAACAGGCAAGAACCAAAAAGTAAATTGACAGACGATAGGTTGAAAAGAAATCAAGCCCTTCATATCAACAGCACAAATTTATTCATGACAACGAGAGAACTGGAAAGTGCCTCCTTCCGAATACTCTTGAATCGAATTGGATTGCGTCAGGCTAATGAAAATTGCTCAAACCTAACCTACCACATCGTGTTGAAAACAAGATGTTTGATATACTTCTGGGTCCTACCAAAAATGATCTTAATTACAGAAATAGAGGAGGGTTCAAACACGGCAATCCCAGAATCAGATAAAATTTCACGGTGCACATCTAAATTCTGAAGCCGTTAATTTCTCAGTGACTAGCTATTTCTACGATCTGCACAGGGATTGTATGGACGGCGAGCAATGAAAAAATCAATACCTGATGGGTTCTCCCCAAACACCTTGACCCCTGGCTAATAAAGAAGCGTACAAGAGCTCGTTCCATGTATCAGGAACTCCAGGCAAACAGAAGTGACTGCAGTCCTGACGATTCTTTGGAGGAAGTCCATGAACGTTGGTATCAATTCCATACAGTCCTGCATGTCCATCAGCCCTATAGTTCGTAGACGTTGTAATATCCATGAACTCGACAGCACTTCTTTTCTTCTTAATTTTCTGCTTGATTGCATCAATGATATGCTTGTTGGTCCAGGGTGTTTCCTGCATCTCGTTTACCTCCTCGTCGGTGAATGGCTTGACCTCTTCATGACAATGACCTCCTTTATTCCAAGCTCCTCCTCTGCACACATAAACACCGATACAAAGTGATCACCAGTTTCGACTAAACCACGAATCTCATTTGTGCACTCGAAACCTTGTCCGTTTTTATTCTTCAATAGATCGATTTCATCAGGTTATGCTAGGGAGATACCCAAATCTAAAGGTGGAAGATTCACAATGTAGACGTACCTAAAATGAACTGGGGCGAAACTTCGAAAAAAGACTTGAGAAGTCTCAGGATCAAGATTACGTTCCATCCATGATGCCCAAGTTCTCACACCAGTTCTAAATGCATCTTCAATGCTGTGGGTCGTCAAGTTGTTCCCCATGTAAAACCGGCCACCTCTGCAGTAAAAAGTATCAGGCGTGTAAATTCAACACTCTACAGAATCATTGCTTTCTACCACAAACTATGAATTCTGCCCAACACTGACACGGTATTAAAAAGAAAAAAGGGAAAAATCAAGGAAGATGCTACCAGATGATCAATCAAAAGACACGAGTTGAAGAAGCATGTGACAACACGATCACACCAAAGCATGAGGAAATACTGATAATAAGGAACAAAGTGATCGATGTCTTACTGGCGCCCAATCTTCTCCCATGACCACCAGTGACCTGAATTAAATACCATGATGTTGGCTCCGGGCCAATTTCCAACACTCCATGACACTTGGTCGAGCTTAAGTATACTCGTCACGTTACTTGGTACATCCGGAGGAGGTCGTGTTTGTGGAACAAGAAAAGTGTCCCTGTAATACTCCACGGTACAATTATAATCTTCGAATCGAAATAACAGCTCACCAATGTGCTTACTTATGGGCTGACCATTAACCTCATAAATCCGTGATTTGTTTTGCACACCTTCTGCAAGCATGCACAACATAGACTCCCACTGGTTCCGCCCCAAAGAATCGCCAACAAACACAAGCCGTTGGTTCCGTAACCTATTCAACATTTCTTTGGGATCGAATCTGCAACAACGGTCTTGAAACAATCAACATTCTGATTTGTCCTTTTGAGATTACGCAGCAAGTATTTGAGTCTAAATATCAAGGATACAACACCATACACCCATTACAAGTTATATATTAAAAATAATACAAAGAAAATAATAAGAGTTCTAAGTAACTTGGTGTCAAGCCAACGAAACAAATGCCACCACTGCAATTTTAACCGCTCAAGGCAACATGTACACAGAAGACACCTGTACTTGATAAACAAGAGCATTATCACAAGACAGACTCTCAGAACAAATACTTTTGTAGCCTACATTCCCTGGCACCTAAAACTCAACGACCAGCTAAAAATAAGAAACCAAGACAAAAAAACGGTTGGTTCATTATCAGAATTCAAAAACCTGGGCAAGTCACAATCGTCAGGTTGCCAGCGATATTTCATAAAATCAGTGTCGGGTCGACCATTCTCCTCACACCGAAAACTTCTGTCCACGAAAGGACAATTCCTGGATCTGTATAGTGGATATGTATCATCATACACCCACCGACCGTGATAAATATCACAACCGACTAATGATCGGTGTACTGTGCCATTCGTCGCTGCACCATCCGTCGTGACTATTACATCAGATTGCGGCTGCTCGGAATCCTCGGGCTTTGAAAGAAGGTACTCATTATTGTAACTTGAGGAGAAATGTGATTCTCCTACCTCGGCGGAATTAGTGCCATCCGCTGCTGGTTCGAAATTCTCCATCGACTCCATCACTTTGCTTGAATCGTCGACCTGGACATCGGATGAGTCCCCATTACCCCACTCGACATTAACTGCCGTGCGAGGTGTCACACGCATTTCGATGCGTTCTTCGGATTCATGACTGAACAACGATTCAGGTTCCAAACCCTTCTGCAGAACAAAGTCCTCCGTACCGCTGCTACCGTAGAGCGTCTTTGTGTCAACGATCATGAAGCAAAATAAGATAAGTCCTGCGCTGAGAGGTAGTAGCAACGTGATCCCAAGGCTATGGCCACTACAATATGCTTTCCTCCAATATTTCCCACTTTCTCGCGCTTCCAGTCTTCGCAGCGTTAGTTTCGAAGTCATATTATATGACAGAAATATATATATATACGCGCGAATAAATAAACGCGCAAGAATCGTAGCTAATAACCCTGAAATTAACGATATAAACCCAGAAAACTTCTACGTCTTTTGTCAAATTTCATGGTGCTGCTTTAGTGCTTCATCTCGAGAATATCGAGGTACTCCTGCACCGATGCCTCGTCGGTCCGCTCCTCGTAATTGTTGTGCTGTGCTTAGCTAGTAATTCTAAAAGTGGCTCTAACGCCAAGTGTAGAAGATCTAAACGGGAACACTCACCGCCTTCTCTCGGACTTCCGCATGCTGCCAATTCACACTGTCAATAGCTTCCTCCTTCTTTCCTCGTCGGGTCCCATGTCAATCTGAATAGCAACGACGGAAGTGTACTTGACTCTCAGCAGTTTGTCAGCTATTCATTTAACTTCTTTAAATCCAGAGATGACGGATATTGTCATCACTCCCACCTTCAACCACCTGGTAAACCAAGCACGGCAACCTAAAAATGCTCAGTGACTGATTATTCCCAATAAATACAAAAAAAAAGATACACAAAACCTTCACCCAACGTCCATGTTGTCATGAGCGGATGGGAATCGACTTCCTCCCACAACCAGCATGCAGACGAATCATAGTGTATTCTGAGACAAGGAATGAACACAGTCCTTTGTAATCCTCAGCCAAGCTCACTAGCTTTTTACACAACATCACCAACTGTAACGAAGCGGAACGCTTTATTTGATCCACGGTGTGCAGTATCCACAGAATCCTCGGTCCAGGATTCATCAACTGCACATCGTTTCAAAAACGCTGATGTGACCGTTCTCTCTGCATCACTCTTCAAAGTCGGTCACTGCTGTAACCCTTCACGCATAATATTGCTTAAGCTAACTAGGTCTGTGCACGCAGACCTGGCGTTGCCTACTAAAAGTACTAAGAGACAAGGAATGCCATTTCTGTGTGAAACTGCTGTTTCAAACGGAGAAGCGCTTCAAATAGGGATCAAATCACATCATTTCCTGCCCATTCTAGAAAAATTGAAGCGGGGTTGTAAAACATATAAAGACGCCATGAAGTGGTGATTCAACGTTGGTGGGGCGCAAGCTAACTCAACCGATGAGGCAACACCGCAGGGAACGGAATGCAATTAGCTTGCTTCTTTCCTACTCTTCGCAGCTCTGCTTCAAGCATCACTTCCAGTGTGCGGTTTTGCAGTTCCATGCAATGGACAGGTCGTGTTGCAGGACTTGCACCCGGCTACTGTGCCACAGACGCAACGCTAAAAGCCCGCACGCATGTTACTTGGAAGGAGCGCAATTCTGCACTGCTGCAATAATTACGACGAACCCAGAAGACAATAAGAGACCGACAACGTAAGGATCAAGGTTATCGGCACTATCTGCTGCACACTTACATCAGGATGCGCCGGAGTAGTCACAGGCAATCACCTGGTCTGCGGAGAGAAAATCCCACAGACATATTACCGTCCCCGCATACTCACTCGCCAGTGCCTGAAAATGAACCAAACGTGAACATGAGGTGAAGCTCGCGAACCCAGATATGGCCTGCACAAGACCTATCGCGACCTCCCCACTCACCCAAATAAGTTCCTCGCAGTTCCACCCGCGCCCGGAGGTCGCTCCGTGAGGGAAAAATGCAAACTCCTACCTCGATCTGCCAAATCCAGCTACTCCCCAACAAACGACGCCCATCGTCATAAAACGACACGAGACTTTACAATAAATTCCCTCACCAAAAAAAATCCTCCAGGCATCATCCAAGGACATCTGCCCCCGCGTCCGGCGCTCAAATCCTACATGGAGCCACAGCGCGCATTCACATCCACATCCACATCCTTATGTCAGCGATGGAGTGAATTCCTCAGTCAATCGACACCTCCCATCCCTTGAGAGAATCGCCCACAAAGCTTAAAAAGCAGAACATGTAGCCCCAGCAGCGATCACGACATGCTGATAATGGCGTTGGCTTTTTGAGCTTTTGGTTGTTTTGTTCGGTCCCCTCGAATGACGATCCTCGGCCGCACATTGGCACCGTACTCGAGATCAAAACGCTGCAGGCTGATAACAGCAGCAGCGGCAGCAGGACTGTAACTGTGGTCGATGGGGATCCCACTCACTCATTCACTCACTCACTGCAGGTCTTATGAGTTAAGATTCTAGTTGCGCAATCATGCAGCTCTGATCAACACAACTGAGAGCTCCTGGGATTATAAAAACAAGGCGCAGGATTGTCGCATCGACACAACCCACACACACACAATGAGCGACTTCTGCGAGCGTGAGCCTCACGCGGCAGTGGTCGCCGCGGACGGAAACAGCCGCACAGACGGCGGCACAAAGAGCGCGGCGTCACTCGGCGGCGGTGGGAGGCGGCGAGGGTTTTTAGCTGGGTTCGTACTTTGCGACGCTGATTCAGCTCCCCTCGTGGAACTCCAATAGAAAGGCAGAGCTAACTCTCTCTCTGCTTATAGAACTTTCTTAATTACTCACTCCAATAGAAAGGCAGAGCTAACTCTTTCTCTGCTTATAGAACTTTCTTAATTACTCACTTGCTTCTGTTGTTGTTGTTGTTCATTGCAATAATTTGTGTTTACTATCGCAAATCTACTTTTGTTGATTATTGTCTCCTTTGCGTGTTGCCCATGACCTCTCGGTCTGAATGGTTTTGTCAGCTTTTCGTGGGAAACTTTTTAAATGTGCTTTGTTTTGTGTGTGTGTGTGTCTCAACCTTCATGTGTTTTGTATGTGGGTTGTGTTTGATGCTTTTTGCAAAGAGATGTAGCTTTGGTTTTCATGTATATATATATATATATATATATAAAAAATTGTGAATTTTAAAAGTGGAATAAAAATAAAAATTTTATTGAGAGAAAATTTGATGTAAAGTATGTTGTTAATTATACATTTCAAACAATCCTGAATGGGAACTATTAGGTTGACATCCCCTTTTTACTCTTTGGACACCCCTTTATATATACATCTTTGCAAAAAATAACCACTTTTTATTTTAAATGAGATTAAAAAACGATTTTGATGAATAGTAATAGTAATAAAACATAATTTTTAATGTTTTTGTTGCTCTAAAATTTAATTTGACAAAGATTTGTAAGGAAAATAGAAATAGAAATAAAAATATTATGTAGCCATAGAATACAAATGGATAAGGGTATATCAAATTTTGGCAGTAAAACAATAAATACAACAAGAATAATGACTTAAAATTAGAACCAATTATTTTTTTGCAAGAGTTTGTATGTGGGGATGTTTACGTAATAAACATAGGATGTTCACCTAACAGTTCCCTAAATAAATGTATGTAGATTACAAGACAATCTCTTATATAAAAACAACTAGGGGGAAAAAATACACAGGATAAAAATGTGGCCAACAGCATGGGTTTCCACTAATATATATATATATATATATATATATATACACATTGCAACATTATTTTCATGAACAATTGTTCTTTAAATTTCACTATACAAATGTTCTGTTTACCTCCTATTTCAAACAACCTTCAAATTTTGCACTTTATTTTGGTTCTTCTGTAATGCCTTAAATAGACACTCAAGGTTCTTCAGAAAAAAACCTCAAATGTGTAATTAGACGATTAGATACAAATGTCTTACTTATTTAAACAACTTGGTTTATTCCATCTTTGTTTCATTTTTTTTTATCTCCACTGTTATTCTCTTGATTCCCATTGTTTTCACTTCAATTCCCCTAAAAACTCGTGCAATCAAATCTTCATTTGGATCCACAATAAAAATAGAAATAAAAAAACAAACTTTTCCGTCTCCATATGAAGATTTTCCATAAAAGCTGTGTTCTGGATTTGAGTTACTTAAATTCAAGCAATAACTCATCCTAGTGAAAAACTGCAGTTCTCAGCCCGTAATTGCTTCAATAAAATCCAAACATTGTTGAACTGATGTTGCATTCCAAATCCTCAAACAACTTCCAATAGTCCCCTCCAATACTCTAAAGCTCAAAACCACATCCCAACAACTCATGCAACAATTGTCAATTACCTGCAAAAACAGAGCTTCCAATACTCAACCAAATAGATGTAAGCATATCATTGTGTGTGTGTGTGAGTGAGATCATTCAACAAAGACGAAACATATAAACTATTCACCCTGACAACAGATGCTTTTTGCCTACATTAGAAGATGTTGACGTCGTTGGAGGAAAGTGCGGCACACCATGCAGGGACGAGGCGTGAATCCTGCATAGCTGCCGGCTCCCTGTGGCTGCACGGATCATGCACGGAGCCGCACAGAATTCCCGCAACGGACCCAGATTCTGTGTACAGCAGCTAGGTAGGTAGCATCAGTCATGGCTTCCGAGATTCCAAAACCCTAATCCTGTTTCTCAGGCTAGATTTGTGGCTGGCGTTATCTGCAATGACTCTATTTCATTTGGGTTGGCAACTACTTAGTATGACAATACAATGCAAAAAAATAAATGTGGGAGATATACATATATATATATATATATATATATATTTTTAATATTTTTTTGACACAAGTAGAATACAATGTGGATTGGGCTGTTGTTTCATGACTTTTACTTGAATTAGACATCTTTCTGGAACAAAACCAAGACCTAAAATGAATCAGCATTGCTCTGGCTGATTTTGCACAAATGTATTGCAGTTAATGTATGAGACAAAATCTTTGCAATAGTGCTAATAAGTTTTTTTCCCTTTTTTGCTATAGAACCTTTTAAACTAGTATAGATTTGAGGAGCATCTAAATGTTCAACAAAATTGGATTTGGGGTTTTGTTATTTTCTACAAGTTTAGTGTTTTAAGTCTAAAAATGGCACCAAGACCAACACTAACTTTACATCAAATAATTTTTCAAGAAGCTCTTTTTAAAAAAAAATCAATGAAGGCATGTAGCTTTTAAAAGTTGACATTATCATTATTATTATTATTTGTTTGTTTGTTTGTTTGTTTTTTTTTGTTTGTGTGTGTATGGATAACATGGAAATAATATGATGTTTTGATATTTAGACAAACTAATAAAAAAATAATTCTAACATGATATAGGTTAGTAGAGTATAGAAAAGCACATTAGAAAAAGACACTAGACGGTACCCTAAAAAATTAGCAAAACAAATAAAAATATTTAAAGAAGCTTCATAAGAATTTGATTGAATATTAAAAAAATTAAGATTATTAGTTATACACTTTAATAAAATAGAATTATATATTATTTTTTAAAATTTGTACAAGTCCATTTAGATTTGATGCCTCAAATAAAGGCATGTACTAGTATTCAATATCATTAAATAACAAAGGATTATACATAAAATTACATAGATTGTTATTGTTGTTTTCTATAAGGTTGTCCTAGAAATCTAACTTTCTTTAAATGTTTAAATAATTTTTATTTAAAAAAGCTTACCTATATTTTTTAATTTTGTAATATTAATGATATATATATATATATATATTTTTAAAAATCTTAAATAAATAAAATTTGATCAATAATTTTCTTGTAAATAAAGCTCCTTGTAATAAATCAAAATTGATAATAGTTGTGGAGTAAAAAGTAGAGGATTTTCAACCAAGAGTCGTCCAAATAAATGACACTATATAAGTTTAGATATAGAAAAAAAAAAAAAATATATATATATATATATATATATATATATATATATATATAAATAAAGACAATTATATCCACTAATTTTAACTTATTATATAATTATATATTATATCCTTGGTATTTTTAATTTTGAAATATTTATTATATTTTATATGATTTTTATTTTAAAATCACATCATTACAATGGTTGAGTGGTTTTATTTTTTGTAACAAATAAAATGATAATTATATATATTGCTTCATACTTAAGATTCTATAAGAAGATAGAAATTTTAGTTTAATATTATATCATCTTGAATGATTATTTATTTATTTATTTTAATAACACAAGAGTATATAGACTCTTTGGTTTTTTCAAATCATGACTTTGACAACAATGTTCATTTCATGTCTCTAATCTTTAATCCCCCATCTTTGTTCTTTGTCTCCAATTTCTATTCTTTACCATTGGTCTTTCATTTTTAGTCCATATTTCCTATCTCAATTTTTTATTTTTTCTTCTTTATTTTTCCTATCTATTCACAATACATGATTCTATTTAATAAAAAATAATATATAGTATTTAGAAAACCAACATCAAACTCTAAAGCTTTTAGCCATAGATTTTACACATGATGTCTATTTTAATTTTAATTTTAATTTTAAAAAATAAATTAGAAAATTTTAGCTTTTATAAGTACAAAAAATTAAAAAAATTACTTTAAAAATATTTAAATTAAAACAAGACATCTTTATCTTTTAATCACTAAATTAAAGATTACAATGTAATACTAGCAATGTTTTAGTTCCAAAATAATTTTATAAAAAAATAACTTTATTCAAGATTATTATTACTATTAATAATGATATACAATAAAAATGGAGGTTGGTTGTTGAAAACAAAGACAAGAAGATGGGCATTGAGATAGATGATGGAAGAATGAAAGTTAGAAATAGAAGATATGGGATGAAGGTTAGAAACTAAAGACAAAGGATGAGGTTGGAAACAAAAGATAAGAAATGTGAAGACAAGATTGAGAACAAATGATAAGACATGGAGGAACAAGGTTAAAAATAAAGGACAAGAAACATATGAATAAGGTTGAAAATAGAAGATGGAAGATGGAGGGACAAGATTGAAAACAAAGAATAAGAAGCATAAAGACAAGGTTGAAAATAGAGGACAAGAGATAGAGGGATAAGATTAAAAATATATGACTTTTAAATAAATCGAATTTCTTATAATCTTGATTTTTCTTTTTTTTTAATCCAAAATCATATTAGTAAAGTAAAAATCTATAAATCCAATACAATCAAATCCTTACTAATAGTTGTATGAGCTTTTATTCATGTTATAAAAGAAAAGTCATCTTTTTTTATATATGCCATTTTTATTTTTAATAATGAAAAGACTACCAATGGCATTTCAAGATAGTATTAAGATTATTAAGATGCATTTGAAAAGAAGAATATAGATATTTTTTTAAAGTATTGTTTTTATGATTATTCAATTGATCTTTAAGAAAGAACTCAACCACTATTTGGACCAATCAATACCTTATTGTAAAACAAGTTGGTTGCATCTAAAGAGTACATTGACAAAAAATTTATCAAAAACTTCATACATTATTTTAAATTTCCAATAAGAGCTCTTATCTTATTTGTGAAGAAAAAA